GATCGGGGTTTTCTCCTCTTGGAGCCGCGGGCTGAGTGAGACAAAGGCAAGTACCGGGAAGGTCCTCTATATCCTGCCAGCCACCCCCCCCCCCCCAATGCTGTGCTTTCAGCGGCGAGCCATCGTGCCATCCAACAGACTTGTGCTGCAGGGGCGGCGGCTGCTGCTGGGCTGAACAAGCCCATTTGGAGACAAGCTCGTCTCGGGAACCGCCCACGCATGCTCCAGAGAGAAACAAACAAACAAAAAAAGAAGCAAGGCGTAAGTAATGCTTGGCCTCGTCAGCCTGCCTGGCCTTCGTGTCTGGTTGCTTACATGGAGACAAGCTGTCGTGAGTGGTGTCGTCCGATGTAGGTGGCTCGTTTACCTCGGGGAATAAACTCTCATTTCTACCAATATTCCACGAACGTAAGCATAGATGGCATTGATGACAATGCGCCCAAGGTCACCAAAAGGCCCAGACCGCTCGTTGAGGGCCGATGAACCAGCATAGAGATAGCAGTGATTCCGTCTCAGCAGTGCCACAGAGAGAAACAGGAGAAACAGAAGCTTCTGGGGGGCTGAAAAGGGCAGGAAGAAGGGCGTGGAAAATGGTGGGCAATTGTCAAGAAACACCAAGTTCCCTGCCGCGTCGATCCCAGCAATTTCCTTTGGCCGGGCCTGGTTGAAGGGCCCTGTCGTTCGTTGTGGCATTTTCTCCCTCTGAGAGCTTGTGAGTGCGGTGGAGGGGACGGGGGGTGGCTTGCGAACCTGGAAGTTGCTGAGAGCCCGTCCCAAAGATGAGGCGGCATTGGAGGAGGAACTCGAAAGTCACGGCAGCCAGACCCCCGAAACAGAGAACGATCCCGTGCCGTAGCGGCACGCTAGCCTGCCACTGGCCGGCCGTTTACTGGACGTTTCCCCCCCCTTTCCCCTCCCTAAGGTGTGACCCTGGCCCCCAGCGAGAGACCGGTGGTGGAGCTTGTTCAGGGTGCTGGGGACCGACACAGGGGATACTTGATGATTTCGAGCGAATACGGGCACGCTTCTGGGCCACCGCAATCTACCTCACTCAATTGAGGTGCTGTCAAGTGAGAGGTTTCGCTTCTGAAGAGGGCCATGCTGATATTTGGTGGGCGCATAACAGCCTGTAGGTACATTTCCCAGGTCTCCATCTGCGGTGAGGCTCAGCTTCGATTCCCCGTAACCCATCTCACCCAGCCAGAAAGAAAGAAAAAAAAAGGGAGGGAGACGCCTACCTACCGTAAAGTGGCTATCAACCCTCGACCCTCGAATCCTCCTCTGTCCTTTGACTCTCAACTCACCCGTCGTCCTGGCAAGCGCAACGACACAAAACAACACAGCACATCCCCGCGAGCACCTCCTCTGCACCCCACGATACACAACAAAAGCTGTGTCCTGCAGCCTGCACCTTGCCACGAGTATTCTTCAGCAGCAGCAGCAGCACAGACGACACAGTGTACATTGCCGTTGCCCAGTGCTGGACCCCATCTCCATGGCCACCGCCTAGTTTCAAGTTCGACCTTGACCCGAGGACTCCCCAAAACCGCTGCACTCCTCCACGAACCTGTCCGAATACCCCAAATCGCGGTCTGCGAGAGTTGACCTGCAATTCTCGACGACACCATGTCCCAGCCAGACGAGCCCGTCAAGTCTCCGATCACGGCTACCAAGGATAAGAGGCTATCGATCGACTCCGACTCCGACTCGGACAAGGAGAATGTAACGCCCCCCGTCCTCCCTCCAGACACGTCCGAGCCCTTGGGGATCCTCTCGGGGCTCCTGCCGTCGCAGCGGCGCAATCCAGTAGGACATGGTTGGCTGACACTGCTGGAATAGTCACAGGATGACTTCGAAGACGCCGTCGTCGATGTCGCTGAGGTAGCCGAAGTCGCTGAGGTCGCTGAGGTGCGCTCCCTTACCACGAGGACGCCTTCGGTCTCGAAAGCACCGCCCACCGAACCCCCCACGGAGCCAGAGTCCCCGAAAAAGGAGGCAAAGGAGGCAAAGCAGGCACAAGAAGAGGACAGCGAAGTTGAAGACGACGCACCCCCTACACCTCCGAAGGACGAGCCGATAGTCGCAGACGACCTCAAGAGCGATGAGGAAGATGTTGAAATCAAGCGGAAGCCTTCTCCAGTCTCCCACCGACTTTCCAATACCTCCAATTTGGACAATGTCAATCTCGACGACGACCACACCGCCGCCCCACAGGAGCCAGGTGCGTTTGTTTCGTCGCATGAACTGATTGACGTGTGTCAATATGCTAATCTTAATGCAGCGCCCAAAGCCAGTAGCCCTCCTCCCCCTAGAGTGCCATCCAAGAAAATATCAATAAGCAGCATCACTGGCGCCCTGCCCTCCATGCCATGGTCGCCCCCCGCCGATCCGTCTCCCGCTAAATCTCCTATTGCACCTGCTGCACCCCTGCCGCAAGCCGTTCCAGCTCCTCCTCCTGTCCCCGTATCACACCCAGGTCCTCCGACAAGGAAGCTCACCAGCCCCTTCGCCTGGCTGTCACGAAACAGCGGCAGCAAGGAGAAAGAGACCTCCCCACCGCCCGCCGCTTCGCCTCGACGGAATACTGCCAGCTCCATCGCCACGTTGACTAGCAATCCTGAGATGATGCTCAGCAGGCTCGACGAAGAGGAAGGTGACGGCAAGCACGGTGTGGCCCGACACAGCTTGAAGGATCGCTTCAAGATGGTCAGGATGCGGGAAGAGGCAGGCATTACGCTTGACGATGACAAGACGCCCGTCCCACCGCCAAAGGGCCTCGGCCTGTCCACACCTCCCGCTCAGAATGGTGATAAGGAGCTTGGGGCAGAACCGCCCAAGTCGCCTCTGCCAACAACACCGAACCCAGCATTGGCCCCCGGGACAGTATCTGGAGTATCGGCCGGTCCCTCTGACATGCCCGATGCCCAAATTGATTGGGACCTGTGGCAGTCGGTGGTGTACGAGGGTCCGGCCGTCGTTGCTCGTACGAGCGCCGAGGATTTGAACAGGGCTATCGCCACTGGTATTCCCAGTGCCATTCGAGGAGTAATTTGGCAGGTTCTGGCGCAGAGCAACAGCGAAGAGCTCGAGATCATGTACAGAGAGCTCGTTGCCCGTGGTACAGACAAGGAAAAGAACAGGAACAGCAATGGCACCCTCAGCTCGGGCAGCAATGGTACCCTCAGCATTCAGAATGAGGCAGTCAACTCTTCCGCCTCATCCATCCACTCGGAGCATTCAGCAGTCAACGGCAACGGCATGCCTTCGCCGAACGAGAAGAGCGCCGAGGCCATCGCGAAGGCTCAACAGGCCGCGACGGCAGCCAGGCAAAAGAAGCAAAAGGAGGATGCTGCCATGATTCAGAAGCTGGAAAAGACCATCCGACGCGATATGGGTGCGCGAACTAGCTTCTCCAAGTACGCTGCCGCCGCTGGGCTTCAAGAGGGCCTCTTTGGTGTGTGCAAGGCGTATGCTCTATACGACGAGGCTGTTGGCTACGCTCAGGGAATGAACTTTTTGATCATGCCCCTTTTGTTCAACACGACGGAGGAGGAGGCCTTTTGTCTGTTGGTAAGGTTGATGAACCATTACCACCTGCGCGACCTGTTCATCCAGGACATGCCTGGTCTGCACAAGAACCTCTACATCTTCGAGCGTCTGCTTGAGGACTTCGAGCCTGCTCTGTACTGCCACCTTCGCCGTCGCAGCATTTCGCCTCACCTGTACGCAACCCAATGGTTCCTGACGCTCTTCGCATACCGCTTCCCTCTGCAACTGGTACTGCGCATTTACGACTTGATTCTGTCTGAAGGCTTGTCGGCCATCCTGCGGTTTGGCATCGTTTTGATGCAAAAGAACGCTGCCAACCTGCTGGCCATTTCGGACATGCAGCAACTTACCGTCTTCCTGAAGGACAAGCTCTTTGATGCTTACATTGACCACGCGCCGAGCGCAGGAAGCATTCTGGAGAATGGCTTCTTTGGCAGCTCTAGCGCCAGCCAAGACAAGGAAGTCTACCGTGCCGACCAGCTCGTCAGGGATGCCTGTGACGTCAAGATCACACCCGAAATCTTGAAGGCATACACCGCGGAGTGGGAGGAGAAGACGAGGACGGAGAAGGAGCGCGAGCAGGAGCTTGAGCAACTGCGTAACGCCAACATCAACTTCGCCGTCAAGGTGCGTAAGCTCGAGGAGCGTGTTGAGGCCTACGATAGTGAGCAAGCGGCCCTCGCGACCGAGCTTGTCCACACCAAGGTTGAGAACGAAGAGCTCAAGGACGAGAACGAGAGTCTCAAGGGCCAAGTCCGCGAGCTGCGCAACGTCATTGAGAAGCAGCCGGAGGAGCTCGAGAACGCCTGGAAGCTGGAGAGAGATGATCTCATGAAGCGCAACGCGAACGTTCACGAGGAGAACCAGAAATTGGAGAAGGAGTTGGCAGAGCTGGAGGAGGAGCTTGTACAAACGAAGATGCAGTATGCTGAGGTAAGCACATTCCGTTCGCATCCACCCTATTCTCGACGAATGCTGACCACCGTCCAGATCAATTCTCAACATGAGACCCTGACACGCAAGTGGACGGACCTCAAGCGACAGTTCGCCTAGAGTGATATGCCGATATACAACCCTGGCAGCCCCAGAAGCAGAGTTCATTGAACGTCTTAATGTACAAAATTAATGATAGCTTCCCATGAAAATGGGGTTTCGTGTGTGTTTGCTGGCCCAACGCACATCAGGGCGGCAAGCTTGGTGGTGGCGGTGAGGAACCACGAGCTGAGAAGCGGCGGTTGTTCATGTTTGATATCCCACCAAACGCACAGGAGACAACAACAGAGAGTAGTAGGAGCAAGTCGAGGAGAATTACACATGTCGGTCAATACATGTCCTGACACGGAGTTACAGTTGGAGCCCACAGACCCGATTTTCACGTAGGGTGCCCTTGCTAGGAAAAGGGAAGCAGGGCCGCGCAGGGGAGGCAACCGGCCAGGTTCTGGTGCAGTTTCTCTATACTTAGACACACAAGTTACAACATCATGCACAATACATACAGAGACAACCCCATGGAACATCACTGGCAGAGATTTACAATGAGTGGACACGGAGACAATGTGAATGAAGCTCAGGCGGGCAAAAACTTGGTGGTATAGTCTTTTTGAGTTCTTCCTAATAACCCAGATCCGTCCGTCGGCACGGTTTGATATTTCCCGAGCCTACTTTCGCTGTAGACTGATTGACGCCCCCTGGATGCTTTTTTGACCAGACGACGTTTTAAAAAAAACCTCTTGAACACCAAGAACAACCGTTGCCCGATAAAAACGTTGTTTTTCATTCCCGTTACACGTGGCTCTTTCGTTAGAGAAAGCCACGGGGGCCATCTAATACAACCCAAGATTTTTGTTTCATTCCATCCCTTCCCACACCACGGTAAACACCATGCAAGCCAACTTACGAGGCGCGCGACGTTTACTTGTGGAGCTTGCGCTGGTAGAAGGCGAGCTCCTCACCCTCGAGGATGTAACCGTCGCAGCGGCCGGACTGGCCGGGGCGGGAGGAGACGACGGCGTACAGGCGACCGGCCTCGAACTGCTTCTCGAGGGCGTTCTCGACCTTGCCCTGGGCGGCGTAGCGCTCGGCCTGCTTCTTCTCGACGGACTTGGACTTCTTGACCTCCTCAGCCTTCTCGCCGGCGGCGGCCTGCTGCTTCTGCTGGCGGCGACGGCCGAGGGCCTGGCCGTAGTGGGCCTCGTACCACTGGCGGAAGGGGGCGGCATCGATCTGGACGACGGCGGACTTGGTCAGGGTGTTGGTGCGGACGAGCTCGTTGTTGGAAGGGTGGTAGGCGACGCCGATGACACGGGTCTTGCGGGTGCAGCCCTCGGAGGCCCAGGCGAAGTTGCCGGAGTCGAGACGCAGGGCGCGGTACTTGTGGTTGCCGCCGCGGGTGCGGACCGTGTGGACTCGCTTGGGGCCGATACGGGTGCTGGCACCCTGGCGACCGGCCTCGAAAGCGCGCTTCTTCCCTGTTGGACAGAAAGGTCAGAACGCATGCTTGGTTAGAGCATACGGGCTTTCGGATGTGTTACGCACGGTAGTAGGCGCGCTTGGCACCGGAAGCGGAACGCTTGTGACGGGAATCTCTGGAGATACCCATGATTGCTTATGCTGTTCGGAAGATGGAGGGGTTAGCGACTGTTTTTCCTTCTTGGTGGCTGGGATGACAAAGGAGAGCAGGAGGGAAGAGAAGGGGAGAGAGAGAAGTTGATGATGCTCGCCAGGGAGATATCGCGAATTCGCCTCGTGATCTTTTCTCGCAGGAAAATGTTCGAAGAGAACCGGGGAAATCGAGATATATCGCAATTCGCTTTTGCGGCCTGGCGCCTTTTTCTCTTCGTTCTCTCTCGTATGTGTGTACGATCGTCAACTAACCTGATGGTGACTCAGATGGCAATCGGTTGTTGGCCGTGGGGTGGTGGTTGTCGAGGTTGTCGGGGATGAACTTTTCGTAGAGTTTAGGACGAGTGGGAAAATTCGACATAATTGTGCGGGCTCGCTAGCTCCATTTCGCCGTGCACGGACCATGCTAGGGCATTCTGGTTCGACCGTTCATTGGTTTGTCGGTGTAGATGGGTCTGTCCTCGGTGAGCGCTATCGATAACCGTAGTGGGGCAAGTTGACCCTTGCCTACATGCCAGACCGAAGTCTTCACCGTTACTGAGAGAGATCTTAATAACCCTCACCTGCTTGCGCTTCTACAGACGACTTCGGAGGGTTCTGTTTGCTCCTTGGACGACTCAATTTGACAAGTCTCTTGCCACCAAGCGGCTATCGTAAGCTTCTCCACCGTGGCATGTGAAATTTATACTCCTCGAGCCCCCGCCAGCACACCTCAACCTCGAGCAACGGGCAGATGCTACCTCACTAGCCTCATCTATATCCATCACACATGACGAATGTGATCTCGCCGGCTGTTTGATCAGAATGACTGCAAGAGGCACTCATCTCATGTCTCGGAGATTTCATTCGATTCTCGTTTGTCAACCAATGTTTGAAGCAAAGAAAAAAAGGGGGCTGTGGAGGCCTTCCCGTCGTTTCTGTAACACCAAGCAAGGCGGATCAAGACATCAAATCCGAGCCGGATCCGGGATGTGTCTTCAAGCAAAGCAGCCCGGCCTTCGGAGGTTGTGCGCACTTTGGCCGAACGGAAAATCCGGGCTTCCATCTCTGCACACCACCAGACTCCACACCGCAAGAGTCGGATCTCTCAAGCATGGACTGTGTCAAACTCGTTCTCTCTAACGGCTTGACAGGCGAGACATTGCATGCATACATCGGGCACATCCCAAGTTGGGTTGAACCGCTTACAAACGCCAACAGTTCATGGGAGTGATCAATCGTCTGGTCAGTTCTTAGAGGGCGGAGAGTTTGTGTGAAAAGTTCCAAAGAAGTGAATTTGGCCTGTTCATGCAGGCATTGAGTGTATCGCGCAGCGACTCCTAATATAGGGCCATAGGTCAAGCCAAAGTTGGCGAGCCCGTTCTTCGCCAGATGATGCTGTTTTCTATATACATTATAATAACCGTCAAATACGGCCATGCGTATGTACCAATTTTTGTTTTTGCGTCAACTAAAAGGACCCGCCCATTTCGTCGCCCCGACGGGCGATGTGGTATCAAAATCAGTCGTCCGAGATCCACCCCGTGCCGTTGTGAATGTTTCCTCGACTCTTCCGCCTGGCCATCGGCCTGCCGGCTGGGAAGTACGGGTCCATGACGTCCGGTGACGCTGGCCTGACCTCTTGGTGGATGTCGTTCTTCACCTTGATGATGCCCATCTCCACGCTGTGTGTGAGCGAAGGCTTGTCGAGGTCTAGGGGGAGTATGTTCTCCATGCTCTCCGTGTTGGTGCGGGTGCCGCTGCCGGTGCCGTAGGAACTCGAACTTTGAGAAAGTTTTCCGAAACCTTGTTTTGCCGCGCCGCGAGCGTATGCGTTTTGGGCGAGGTACGGCTTGGAGCCGCCTATTGTGGTTCGCTGGTTGGCGTAGTAGTTCTTCGAAAACTTGCCCGTCGAGAGGCCGAGAGCCTTGTTCAGGGCGGGGAACTTCGAGATCAACGGTCGCAGGGAGGGGACGCCAGAGCAGATGATGAGGGCGCAGACTTCGACTTCTGACCAGAGCAGGGGATCGGCAACCAAGACTGAAATGGTTAGTTTCTGTTCCCGGTGTTTCTGAGGAACGGAAATAGTACTCACAAGTGACGTCTTTGTCGAACGCATTGATGTAGCTGACTCTGATGACCGAAATAATACAAACCCTTGACGGAGTTAGATCTTTTCCAGTCTGGATTGGATATGGAAAGCACTTACAGCAAGCCCAAGGAAAGCATGAAAATCACACCACAGCGCTTCGCCATCGGCAATTGCAACTTCCAGATGGTGGGAATCGGTTGGACGAAAAGCACCAAATCCGTCAACAATTTGATGGCAAACTGGAGGAAGTTAGCGCCATAAGTCAGAGATATTTGCAATGACAGGAGACTCACAGCTGAATAGTAGAATATGGTCAAGTCTAGGCATGTCCCAGGAATAGACGGAGTCCAAGCTCTTGGTATGGGATTACATCTAAAGATGACGACTGCTGTCTCTTCGATGCCTTCCGCAAGAAGCAAAATCAGGAGAAACTTGTTGATTCTCTGGTACATCTGGTCGGGAAGTAGCCGCAAGTAGAGAACGGTAAATGACATCTTCACCGTCACAAACGCCCAGATGTAAGTGAGCTGCGTGACGACTTGTAGCTGTGCACACCATGTCAGCGGGACGTCACCAAAGAAGATTATCGGTTGCCCTAACCCTCAAAAACTCTGCAAAGTCTGATTTCGACACGTCCTGGAAGTGTGATCCCAAGCCGACGTTGGTCACTACAAGTTGTGTTAGTGGAAATCAACTGGGAAGTACGTTCCTTGAGACTCACTGGCAAGAATTGCACCGCAAAGAGCCATTGCCAGCACCTATTTCTGTTAGACGACATCATTGATCAAGGGCTTTTGAAGCATCTTACCCAGCTAATGATCACCAGTGCTGCCAACTGTCAGTGATGATTCTCGAAAAGCTTTAATCGACAACAGGAACTTACTGTCATCCCACCCGACACTCCTCAACAGCACACTCCTCACGCATGTTCTCATCACGACAGTAAGCGTGATGAAGGTCATCAGCATGATGGTCACGCTCGCCGTCTGGCCGACCTTGTCGTCCGCCATGTTTGATGATGAGGGTTACACTGCAGGCCCAGAATTTGGTGTTCCTCTTGGAATGGATCTCGAGCGGACGAGAGCGGGGGGAACGGGCGGGACGGTAGTTTATGATCCAGCCCGCACACAGAAGAACGGACTGACAAGAGAAGAGAAGGAGTCAGGATGGTCCATGACTGACAGGTGGTCCCCTACGTATGTACTGGGCGGTGGTTCGAATGCATTGAGCAGACACAACAACGAATGCGAATCCAGCACCCGGCCCTTCAACTGCTGTCTGATCTCTCCAGCGATGCTCCCAGTCTGGGTTGGTCAACATAGTCTGATGAAAAGAGATGGTCTGGACTGCCCATGTGCAGCCGTTCCACGGGTCATGCGTGCGCCAAAACAAGGTGTCGGGTCGGGTGGTGGACGACGAACCGGAAGGAGTTTGGACAAGGACCGCATGTGAGCAAACGTCGTTCGACAGCAACGATAGCAACCCGGGTCGAAGCGTAGGCTTTCCGCGGCCACACACAGTTGAGAGGATTTACTTGCGAGCCCCTTGCCCGTGAGGTTAAACTTCCAACAGCCAAGTTTCATAGTCCAAGGGCTGGTTGATCGACGGTAGGGAAGACCGTCTAGAAGATCGGGCTCTGCAGCAAGATGGGCCACACATCTTGAGGATCTGAGAGCCTGATTGGCAGAACGAAATGCGACAAACCCAACGGCTTGAACCCGCCGACGGGTCGACCTTGCGAGAACCCACAGGGGAATCCGGGGAAACCGAGCGGGGTCTCAAGCTACGCGAGTACATTATGCACGTCCGACGTCCTGTTGTATGTGTGTGCGTATTGCCAGACCGTGCTCTACCCGTCACGGAAATCCAGAAGAACTTCGAGAACGTCTGCGTTTGCCTGCCGATTGCACAGATGGAGGGAGCCGCCCATGACTCGTCCGGACATCGGAACAGAAACATGTGTATCTAGACAGACCTTGCTCAGACCGGCCAGTCAGCCTAAAGCCTCAAACTCTGAGAGCTTCCAATAGCCTGGCACCGGTGGTGCATTCCCGTGATCCAATAGCATTTGATTTAATTGACCGTACATCACTCGAGAATTCGGTATGCTTGAGCTGCAATGGATGTTGCTTTGCCGTGCCGTAGATGCTTGCCTTCTGCTAGCTGCGCTGGCGGCAGCAGACTACAATGCATTGACATCACGCAGCCAAGCCGCTTCGGGGAATTCTGGCCATGTTTGTTACCAGGCTGCCGAGCCTCCTCGTCTAAGTCCTCCAAACGCCGACCAAAGGCCACGAGTTGGCTATGACATACCAGTCTGTGCGTGCGGATTGATACTCCCCGACGGGAAAGAGAGCAATTCGATGCCAACTAGTCAGGCTCATCGTCCATCGCGGACACGGGGACGCAGACAAAGAAACGGCGCTTCAAACTGCTTCATATTGCCGTCTACGAGGGAACTTGCGCTCCTCCCCGAGCCGTGGGCTGTGTGTTGACGTGCGGCTTGCCCACCCTTAGAACTGTCGAGAACTGCTAGCGCACCCGTCCAACATGCCGCGCCATCACTTCGCTCCGCGGGGCTTACGAGAAGGGCCGCCTTGATGACGGCAGAATGTCGGCGATGAATTGCTAGTGAGTATAACGGCATGTGGGAAGAATGTACTATCCACCTAGAGTCGCGGCGTGTTGTGTGCCAGAGGGATTTCGTGTGTTGGGTTTCAGTCTTTTCGCTTACGCCGTGGTGAAAAGCGATGGCCTCGGGGGAGTACCGACGTCGGGATTGGAGGTTCGAGTAAGCGCCGTCACGCAGGTGCGCTAATGATGGAACAATAGAAGAGGTGGCATACCCTCCACGATGGCATCGACAAGAGAGGGATTGCTTGCAGAACAGTTGACGATAGACAGCGAGTGTGAGTGGTTCTAGGAGGGTTTGATCAGTTCAACTTCAAGAGCAAGGTAATGGCTGGTGAGATAGCTCCGCATACTGTGAGGCACCATTTCTGACTCGTCGTTTATTTGTGGACGAAGCGAAACTCATCTGAAGATCCGTGACGGGAAACGTTGCAAAGGCCCCATAAGCCGCTAAGTGCATTGTTACCGCAGCCAAGATCTGGGAAATCCGGTTGCCCAGTGAGGGATCATACGAGATACGAGCCTTCTCAATCACCAGATCCGCCGTTTAGCCATGGGACGGACGCGAGGGAAACGCTTGGCCCCTTCTTGCCAGGTGCCGCTTGCATTCTCGCCATATATGTCGAAGGTTCCTCATGCAAGTTGCAGCTGGCGGCGATTGAGCGGCAAGTCAAGGCGCCGCGGCAATCAAAGTTTGGTTGTTCTTGAGGACGAGTGTCGGTCGACAGGTGAGCTCAGAGAAGCAACGTCAGAGTCAGGACATCCGCACGTGGTGCGATCTCAACCCAAACTCAAAAGAGCCGTGTCTTGGATGGGACAAACAGGGCCACCAACGCAGATTGTCCGATGAAAGAGCGACTTGGGAGACGGAAAGTCAATTGTCGCCTTGCCCAGATATTTCTGGGCTGCCAAGTGTGATCACCACAGACATCTGAACCTAATATCGAGGGTTGGCCGGGAGAAGGTTCGGAGGTTACGCAACAGCAAGAGGGAATGAAGGAATGCCATTCGACCTGTTGGTACGGAGGGTTGCGTTGGTTGGTTGTCGCGGGTGCCGCATTCCCGATTGAGTAGGAGACGAGGTGGTGGCTACCCTGAGAAAGGGTCCTCTTGGCAGAAATCCGACTCGTAGATGGATGGCGTGCTTCACTGGAGGCCTGAATGCCCGAGGCGTGACGACGAGGGAGATGATTGCCTGGATGCTGACGACAGAGGTAGAGAAAGAGACAATAGCGACAACTGACGACGACGGCAATAGCAATGGTGAGACAGTCGATGAAAACGACAACAAGAAGGACCGAGTCGAGGCTCGAAGCCTGCGGGATAATTCTGAGGCTCCAAATCAATGTGCGACAGCCACGAGTTCACGGCAGCCACGCCCCACCCCTCCAAGTGCAGCAGCGACTGCGAGGCGATCGTGAGGGTGCCGAATGGGCAAGTGCGCGACGGATGGGAAAGTGAGCATGGTGTTTTGAACATGTTCCAGAAGGAGCGAAGTTCGCGCCAGCCCCACCCACCACCCACCGGACCCCATTCCTTCCCCAGAAACTGCAAGGAAACCTCGGAGATTTACCCGATGATCTTCCCCCCACCAGGGTTCCTTCCCGCTGCTGCGTCTCACTGATACGTCCAAGGCCACTTACACGGAAGGCACGCATGTGAGGCGAGTCGACCTGCCACACCACACGGCACCCAACGTCACTCGTCTGCGCGACGTCGTTGCTGGCCGGACCTCACCTCACCTCCAATCAACAACCTACAAACAAACCAGACTCACACAAACCATCCTCGAAAACCTACCTACGAGATATCCTCGGTTGCGTTCGTCGTCCTTTGCCTAAGTAATTGTTATTTTCTGCCTTTTGCTTCAGTTCGCCCTACTACCTAATAAACCGACACAATGAAGTCCGCCCTCGCCCTCGCAGCATTTGCTCCTCTCGTCGTCCTGGCTGTACCTCCAGCCTGTCTCCTGGCTTCTCTTGAACAACAAGGCGTCCCCAGCGGAGTAGAATACATCTGCGAGGTTAAGCAAAAAGACATGCTGGGTAACCTGACGGTCACTTGCAATGCCGAAGATCTCAAACCTGCCTACGAGAGCTTCGCCTCTACCTGTGCGCTGGTTGGCATCGATGTGGCCGGACTGCCTGCGCCATCTTCATCCTCTTCGCCCTCACCTACTCCGTCTGCCACCAACTCTGATGCTTCCAGCGTTCCTCAAGCCACGGGGGCACCGTCCACAACCATCTCGTGAGTACAGGCCTACGCCAGACAGCCCACAGAATGACATTGACAATGACCAGAACACCGACTGCTAGCACTTCGAAACCTGCTAGTGCTGCCGCTGCCATTGCACCTCACGCAGTCCTCTTTACAATCTTTGGTCTGTCGACTACGGGTCTCTTCAGCATTGTCTTCCTGTGAGGGGGGCATCAAAAACGTGGAACCACAGCACACGCAAGATCATTCTAAATCGACAGACTCAGCTAGTGGGCATCAGTACACAATGTAAAAACAAGCTTGGGAAAGGGAAAAAGCATGGTGTTGGGGATCAAAAGGAAAAGGGCACGTCTATCAAGCATGAGCATAGCACTGGCGTTACGAGGGGAAAACTGTACGAGTAACCTGAAATTTTACTGAATTGGTATCTTTCCTCCTCTATACCAGGCCGAGCCTGTCTTTATGCAAAAGTCTATTTCAGAGTAACCAGCTCCTCAGCGCTGGTCGGGTGGATGGCGACACAGCTGTCGAAATCCTTCTTGGTGGCGCCCATCTTGACAGCGACACCGAAACCTTGCAGCATCTCTCCGCTGCCGAGGCCGGCAATGTGCAGGCCGACAACCTTCTCCTCAGGGCCGGCGCAGACCAGCTTGTAAGCGGTGGGTCCCTTCTCCTCGGGCTCCATCATGGCGTAGTACATGGCGGTAAAGTTGGTCTTGTAGATCTTGATGTTGTCCTTGCCGTACTTCTCAACGGCCTCAGGCTCCGTCAGGCCGATGCTGCCGACCTCGGGGTGCGAGAACACGACCGAGGGGATGTTGGAGTAGTCGAGATGCGCATCCTTGTACTCAGGGCCTCCGAACAGACGCTCCGCCAGACGACGTCCCGCAGCGATGGCGACAGGGGTCAGCTCGACCTTGCCGGTGACGTCGCCGAGGGCGTAGACGTTCTCGACGCTGGTGTTCTGGTAATCGTCGACGGGGATGTAACCCTTCTCGTTCGTCTTGAGACCGGCGGTGTCGACGCCGAGGTCCTTGGTGGCGGGCGTGCGGCCAATGGCCCAGATGAGGTGGTCGAAGCCGCCCTCGGAGGTCTCCTTGCCGTCGGCGTCCTTGTAGGTGATTGTGAGCTTTCCCTGGGCGTCCTTCTCAACCTTTATGGGCTGGGAGCGCTTGTGCAGGTTGACGCCGAGGCGCTCGTACTCCTTGGTGACGGTCTCCTGGATCATGGGGTCGAAGTTGCGCAGGAAGGTGTCGTGGCGGATGAAGAGGTGGGTCTCGGTGCCGAGGGCGTTGAACATGCCGGCGAACTCGACGGCGATGTAGCCGGCGCCGACGAGGGCGACCTTCTTGGGCTGGACGTCGATGTCGAAGAAGCCGTCCGAGTTGGTGCCGAGCTCGGCGCCGGGGATTTCCGGGGGGATGGTGGGGTTGCCGCCGACGGCGATGAGGATCTTCTTGGCCTTGACGGTGGCCTTGGAGCCGTCGTCGAGGGTGACCTCGGCCTCGTTCTTGCCGGTCAGGCGGGCCCAGCCGTGGAGGTACTCGACCTTGTCGTTGTTGAGGTTGCGCTCGTAGATGCCGTTGAGGCGCTTGATGTAGGCGTCGCGCTTGTTCTTGAAGGTCGTCCAGTCGAAGGGGGCCGTCTCGGAGACGGAGAAGCCGTACGACTTGGCCTGGTGGATCGTCTCGGCGATGGCGGCGGCGTTGAAGGTGACCTTTTTGGGGACGCAGCTGGTGCGAGCTTCATGTCAGACAACAAGAAAGAATTGGCGGTATGGGAGGGAGAAGGGGACTTACCCAACGTTCACGCAAGTTCCTCCCAACCTCGAGCCCTCGACGATCATGGCCTTTACGCCAAACTGCCCGCTGGCCTTGCGCGCCGCTCCGAGGCCGCCACTGCCGCCGCCGATGACGAGGAAATCGGTCTCCTTGGTGATGGGAGCCATGATGCGGGCTGTCGAGGAGAGGTGCCTCTGTATGGATGCGATTCTCGTGGGGGCTGCCGTGGCTGCTGTTGCTGCTGCTCGGGATGCAACGGTAGATGTGCGGTAGAGGGCTTGCATGGAGCGTATCTCTCGAGGGGAGATCGAAAGGTATCGCGGGGGAGGGGGGAGGGGAGAGCGGTGTTTCTTTATGTGCGGTTTGGTGGGGCTGGACGGGGTGACGTCTTATATGCTTGCAGATGCGCGACCTGACAAATGCGGCCACGGGAGACACGAGACGGACGGCGGCGTGCGGCGTGGTGGTGTGCGTGTGGTCCGGGATAAGGCAGAGAGCGGGCGGGTAGCTGAGGAAGGTAAGGTAGCTGATGTAAGTTTTTCTTCGGGGGCTTCTCAGGACAGCGGCAGGTCCGTAGGTCGGGGACTTGGTGTGGATCGGCGGGTGGGTATGATCGAATCGGCGAACGGAGTTGTGCGTCGGGCGACTTTTGCACTGCGAATTGCAAATCACAGCTGTTGTTCGGCTGCGAGGCAAGTTGCTTACCCACCACCGCTGCAAATCTACCTAGGCAAGGAGGTAGTGAAGCTCCATATGCACGGGGATGAATCATCACCAATCAATCTACAATATCCCCGCTAAAGAAAGCCGTGGAATTGGGGGATAACTAAGCACTGGTTACTGCAAAGACACGCCGAAGCCCCCGCCATCGGATCGACGTAAACAAGGGTCCTGACTCTTCCCGGCGCGTCGCATTGCGGAATCCACGGATGCCAAATTGGACCTCGGCCGAGGTACGCAACTTTCGCGTCTCCGGGGTGGGAGCTAGTGGAGGTGCGGTGACATTGGCGTATGGGATTGACAATGCGTGCCTGATAATTGATCTGACAATATTATGGTGATGTGATAATGACAATTCTTCAGTTTTTGGATGGCTAGAGCCAATCAGCCAGTCGACGTCATTCAGCGGCTAGACTGGTCTAAATCTATCCAGGTGCCCCAAGTCGACGGACCGAAGCTTGGCTTTACGCTAGCACATGCACAGTTGCTACGACCATTCATCTCACATCATTTGAACAATAGGACACAAATCTCAAAAGGTATGAACGTCTATTTTGTTCATTATATTGCCGAGGGGCAGTATCTAAAGTACAGTGCAGCTGAGTGACGGTTGATGTCGACCGTGATACGTGAACTCGTAGCGGGAATTCCGCAGGAGCCCCAGGCCTCCATGTCCAGTATGCATGGAGATGGCATCAGCTTGCCGCTTCGTAACTATAACATTACTGGCATTCCTTGAACCTCTGTGTCCAGCCAGGAACTTCTTGAAGGAGTGTATGGTTTCCATCCGTAAATGAGTATGACCTTGACGCCGTGCTATGCGTGGAAGAAGGATGAAGCAATCGACAAAAATGTGTGATCATCGAGACCAAAAATAGAAGAAAAAAGGGCGTGACGAGTCTTATTTTGACTCTTTCTTTTTGCCCAAAAATGTGCGTCGAATCCAAGGGCTTGCTACGCGCTTCGACTAGAAGGCGACTTTGCTTCCGTTGAGTCGTAAGGGCACCGGGCCGGGGCCGAAGCCGTTCGGGCTAATGACTGATGATGGGGTCATGGCTCCTCCGTCCGAGGAGAGAGATGACATGGAAGACATGGTGAAACTAGCGGCCGAGCTGTTCGTCATCGTTCCTGTTCGCGACATCGAAAGCCCGCCCATCGAAATGAGGGCATCTGCCCTTTCAAAGACGTTGCCGTTGAACGCTGCTGCGAAAGAAGCGCTCTGAGGGGTCGAGGGAACCGTCGCCTGGACTGCCGGTCCCAGCGCCGCGCTCTGGGGAGTCATTGGCAGTTGTACGGGCGGTATGGCCGGTCCACTACCGGGGCTGAAGGTGTTGGAGCCGGAAGATTGCCGCAGCAGGTAGCTCCAAGGCGACTGAAGAATGGTGTCTCGTGTTTCCTTCATAGCTTGCTGAATAGGGCGCAGTCTGACCCTGGTATCGGGAGGAAGGTTGACCTCGTTGAATGCGTGTCGAATCTTGTCGCCAAATACCCACCAGGAGTCGATAAAGTTATTGATCAGGCTCCTGAAAGCAGGCTGACTCATGATGCCAGGCTCCTTGAGTTTAATGAGAGAGAGACGGCTTCGAAGCATCTCAGTCTGCTGGACCGCTGTACCGCACTTGTTGATGAGAGCCTTCCAACACATCATCTCATCGTCCGAAGCGCGACGACCCATGGCCTTCTTTGCAAGAACAGACATGTGATTCTGAAACATGGGTAACGTCCTCATGACAAGCTCTGACGACCTTTGCAGAGAGAGGAAGATCTTCTCAAAGTACCTGTCGTCTTCTGTGAAGTCTGAAATGCCGCGACCGCCAGACGAGGCCGAGGCGAACGATTCACCTGACCGGGGAGTCGCCGATGTAAGCGTGGCAGTGCGAGTAGCCACGGCTCCGTTCATGTATGGCAAAGGTACGTCCGTGGCAACTCTGAGGTTGCTTGGGTTGTGTAGAATGGGACCAGGGCGGGGCCGCTGCGCAAGTCCAAGGCGCTCGGCAGTGGGTGTGATGGAGTTTTCGCGTGAGTGTGGCTTGATTGTCTCTCCCATCGCCATGGCTCGAGCGGCCGTCTTTCCGGGTATGGCCTCTGGAGATATCGACGCCAGAGTACACCTGATCTCCATAATGCTATTATAGATGAGCATCAAAAGAGTGCGAATGTAGCGCGGATCTCCATTGTCGACGAAGGAATCGATGTTACCCGCGAGGAGCGTGCAGACATGGGTGTAGGCGCTGACCAAGGTTTGGCAGGCACGGTGAACGTTTTCGTTTTCGCGACCCGCCATCTCGTCACCCACAACAGCAGGGTCATGCTTCTGAATCTCCTGCTCCAGTTCCTCAACGTGGGAGTTGGTGTTGTAGAAGACGATTTCGAGGCTTGATCTCTTGGAAGAGCCGTCGCTCGTCAAGCTCATGAGCATCTGGATCATGGGATGAATCTGAAAAACGGCGTAGAGAATACCCTTGGCAGCTTCAAGGATTGGATCGTAGACTTTGGATTCGCGTCTTCGCTCGGGCAGGACAGAGAGTCGTCGAACGTAGATCGGGCGTTGAAGGAAGGGCTCGGCCGGGCTATTGGGGCTCTTGACGGACATGCTCGCGGGCGGCGGTTGCATCGCAGAGCCGTGGCTGAGGCCTCGGTAGTGACTGAAGCGGTTGTTGGCCGTAGTCTCGTCCAAGGTGCCGAGTTGAGAAGCCTTCTGAGACACAACTCCCATACGCCTCGCTCGAGATTCGGGTCGATCCCCTCGGGTTGCCTGCAACAACGTCTCTGAATTGCTTCGAAGTCTTTCGTTGACATTTCCAATAGTCAGAGGCATTACCCCGGGGCGGCGGATGGCTGTGTTTTGCTGGGACAATCCGCGGTAGTGAGACCGGTTGGGGATCGGTGGAGGTCTGATCAGATTCGGGGATCGAATATCTGGGACGTCGGTGCCATTGACCTTGATGGGGAAACGGCCGCTGACTACACGCTTGATGGGGGGCATCCGAGGCGTTTCCATGCCTTCGCTAGATTCCTCACCTGCAGTGTCTGACTCTGCACGGCCATTCATGGCATGTTGTCTTAAAAAGCGCTTAATGTGTGCAGTGACGGCAACCTCGGTGACTTCGCTCTCTTTCAGATATCCTTCATTGGGAGGGCTGCTCGCCTGCACTTGTAACACCTCTCGAGGCGGAAAGGTGATGGGGTTACCGTCAAATTTGAGCACCTGAAGGGAAACCATATCGGCAAGGGCTACTGGCAGCTCCTCAATACGGTTCTTTTGTACTGAAAAGACCTTCAAAGAAGCGAGTTTGACAATGTCAGGTGGCAAAGCTCGGAGCTTGTTCTTGCTAAGGTCAAGGATTTCGAGCGATTTCAGATCGCAAAGCTAGACAGAAGTCAGACCCGGAGTTATTACTGGCATTTCCCACTGAGACTACTGACCGGCAAAGGGAATTCTCTGATTTGGTTATTTCTGACGTTTAGGTATCGTAGAGAGGTGCATTCGGAAAAGCGAGTCGGGAAGGAAGAGACCTGGTTGTGAGAAAGGGCAAGACTGCGGTCGCGTTAGTCAGAACCGGCCATGCAAACGGCAAAAGAAGTCTACCAACCGTTCCAACTCGTTCTTGATGATATCGACTACCTCGTCTGGTAGTTTTTGGATACCCTTCCGACTCAGATCGATCGTGACGCCCGGCTTCAGCTCGTTGCTGACGGCACTCGCTTCGGCGGCCTGGGACTCGTTCTCGTGGAGGGCGCTTTGCATGGCGTCGCGGGCGAGAGCGATGACCTGGGCGGAGGTCATGGGCGCGGAGGCGGACAAACCGCCGGGCAGGTTTCGGAGGTCTTTGGGCATCGGTGGCAGAGGGGGCGGCGGAGGGATGTTGCCAAGGGCTGCAGCATTTTGAAGCTGGCGTCGGCCTTGTGCGGGATTCTCTGGCAGGCCACGAGCTATGCCCATGGCTGCAGGGCCCAACGCGCCCGAAGGCCGTTCTGAGCGATCGGTTCGCTCGACCATGATGGTATGGCTTCGTTCGACGAAGAGAGGTTGAAGGACGAAGAGGGTATCGATGGTATTGTTGTCGCAGACAAGAAGGTTTGGATCGAATGCAGCGTTTCAGGGTTCCCTCTGGTTGTTGGATGGCCGGCCGAGGGTTGGTCAGGCCTCTCAAACAATAGGAAGACGGAAGCCGGGAGTTTAAGCCAATGGACTTTCGGAACGGGACAGGCTGAACTGCAAGGCGGGCTCGATCATTATGGACAGTCGGACATGCGTTGGAGAAGGTGTGTGCGCGCGAATCGGGGGCGATGGTGCTGTCGCCGACGGGAGGAGGGCAAGGGGAGAAAGATTGGATCGAGAATTGGAACCTGGGTTGTGGTGGGAAGAATTGGATTGGGGAAAAAAGAAGACGAGCCAGCGGCGGAAGCGAAGCGAAGCGATGGCGGAAAAGAGGCAGTTGGTCCGTCGCACCTCCTCGCTGAACAGGCCGAGCGGGCGGGAGAGAGATTCGATGCAGACAGACAGACGGGTAGCTGTTTGATGCAGGCAGCGAGCGCAACGGTCGAGGGATTGTCTTTTGTGGTGGTGGGCGTTGCTGAATTGTTTCCTGGAAAGAGCAGAGGCAGGGCAGCGAGAGACCCGAGAGAAGAACGAAAGAGTGGAGATGTTGTCAGGTTGTGCTACGATGAAACTGACATCTTTCAGCCGGAGCTTCTCTTGGGTGGTGGATTGGGCATCTGGGAAGAAGGGATGAGGATTCTTTGGAGGTGGCCGTCGACCGTCCGCAACAGTAACGGAATTCTGGGTAAACGCCCCCCTGCAAGATGCGAGCCGCACGCCTCCACTTCCAAAGGCCGGGGTTGCAGTGGGAGGGAAGGAGGAGTCCCAGGAACTTCAGGAAGCAACTGCCAATTTGCAGCAGCGGCAGGAGCAACACGGGAATGGAAAGCAGGACTGCAGCAGCAGCAAGTAGAGGCAGGTGCAGGTGGACGAGAGGGAGGCACGGGGCAGGTTCTGGACCCGGGGGGCTTGTTGCAGTGCCTGGTTGGCTGCCCTGGATCTCTCACAGCGCCAAAAAAGGGGGCGGCGGCGGACTGGTGGACACAGCGGGACGTCTTTCCAATTCTGGCGCCCGCCTTACGAGCAACGCGCAGATTTGGCAGGCGACTTTCAGGGAGGTTCCGCACCACTCAGGGCCCTCTGAAGGCCGTGGTGACGCGAAAAGCTCACTGTCCCGAGGGCAGGAGCAGGGAAGGGGGAGGTTCTTTCCCTTCTTCTTTTTTTGAGGGCAGGTACGGATACTTACAAGTCCCTTTTTGGGGGGTTGGATTTGCCGCACAGACTGTTGGCGACTGGAGACTGCAGCGGCTTGTGCCACTGCTGTGGTGGCCAATGAAGACGCCTGGGGATTCTGTACCACAAGCTTCGAGGCACGCGACTGGATGGACGGCATGTCTGGGATTGGGACAGAACTTTAGAGCCTGCCACCTATCCGTAAGGACCACCCAACCTCAGTGGTCAGCAAGCAGGGGAAGGGGGAAAAGAAGATGGAAAAAGAAAGAAAAAAGCATCGAGGCCGGGGTGTGGAGCGGAACAATAAAGGGGGCGTTGACCCAGTATCCAGGCTAAAACGCCTCTTTAGCGCGCCGCAACAAATGCAAGGCACCTCGACACGCAGCAGCACATCTGGCAGCATCACCTATTATTATTTCCTACCTACTGTCTACCTACCTTACGGTAGCTAGGTAAGGTAGGTAGGTATCTCAACAACCTCACCCAATCCTCACTCGCCAGTCCTCCCGTTACACACCGCTGTCAATATCGATGCACACCTCTCAAGACCCTTCGAAACTTCGAGAGCAGTCTCCCGGCAGTCAGTGGAAGCTTCCATGACGAAATATTCAATTTAGGCCGGCGCTCGTGACAACACCTCCTCGTTTGAAATAAGGCATCTGGTGGCTACACCACGACACTTGGGCCACACACCACCTGGAAAGAAAACAAGCCCAGCCGCACACGGTCCTCGACGAACTGGTCTGCTGTTGGTGCTGGCGCTGGTGGTTCACGTCGTGTTGGTGCGGGTTGATGTCACGTCAAGGAACAGCAGCAGCAGCAGCAGCAGCAGCAGAGGCAGAGCCAATGTGAGGCAAGGCAAAGCAAGGCAAGGTAACTAAGTGGTGCGAACAGGTACTTGCAGCTGCTGTGTCACTCCTTGTCTTGCCTTACGTGACACCTCACTCAGCACCTTACCTGGTATCTGTCTCTCCCAATCGCAAGAATAGGAACCAAGACGCAATCGAGAGACAAGCGCCGCGGCAGTGGCCTGTTACTGGCTGCCCTGGGCTGGAACAGATCAAACGGAACGCTTGCCAGGGCCTGGCCGCCCGGGGGTGTCGAGAGTCCAGAAGCAGTGGAGAGGCCCGGCAACGGTTACAGCGGGCAGCAGGAGGAGGAGAAACAGAAACAAAGACGCTACCAGGAAACACACCAGTTTTGAAAAAAACTGGTCGATAGCGTTGCATTCCATTCAACCTCGCACACAGATTTGCTACGCTACACATCTTTTCCACGTTTAATTCTTGTTCGGTGTTTCCCCGTCCTTGCCTCGCCTTGCCTTGCTTTTTGCTACGTCCATGTCGCAACGACCCAACACGACTCTGAATTTTCAATTTTGAATTTTCTGCCTCTCAGTCCCCGGTGGCATCCTTGGCAGCTGGCAAACCTGGGCTCTGGTGAGATGAACTCTGAAAGGAGAGGCGCAGCAGGCCAGCAGAAAGTCAATGGAAACGAACACATCCAGTTCGCTGCTAGGGTGTTACAGAGTTCTGGATAGTTCGCATCAGTCGCGGCACCTCATCCACGAACGGAAGCGATGACGCCAAACGGCAAAAAGAAGGGTTGCCGTACGGATACTATTTGCCATGCAGGCATCTTGGGCAGATAGGCCCATCGGTCAAGTTCCATCGTCTCATTGATGTGATGCCGACACAACTGTCGACGGCCTCAACGCCTTTGCAGCAGATGCAGCAGCTCGCCTCTGCAGATCCAGGGCCGTGTCCCGGCGGGCTGTCAGATAATACGTCTGTGAGGCGATTTCGCGTTTCTCGTATGTATTTCTACCTTGGGCCAGGCAGAGTCCAGAGGTGCGCTCAGTCGTCTGCGACCTTTTTTCTTTTTTCAACCCAACTGCCGTCCTCCTCCGACTCCAACCCCAAGTCTGTTCCAGCTCCATCCGATCCAGACAAAAGGAGAATCCCACAGACACGCAGAATCACCGCCCGCGACTAACCTTGTGGCATATGCCGTACGCACCTTGGGACCACCACGCCTTCCATCGCGCCATGAGCGTGAATCAGGAATAAGCCAGCCCCGAACGCTGCAGCCCGGCCCAGCCCAGGTGGTTCTTTTGGGCGTGGCTTTGTAAGGCGGGTTTTCCAAGGGGCTTACGGGCCTACGGCACTTTCAAGGCGTGCCGCAGACGTGGAAGCGGGCGCAGACCCAGCCCAGGCACCCTAGGCAATGAAGGTAGGTACAGTATGTAGACGCAGGCGCAGACGCAGACGCAGACGCAGACGCAGACGCAGAGTCCGTGATGTTGCTTGCTGCTTGGCCGTTGCGGCCGCTGCCACTGATACATGCCCGCTGTGAGGCTAAAGACTGCAGCCGCCGCTACTGCGCTTCCCCCTTCCCCGCCGTCCCCGGCTTGCCTTGCCTTGCCTTGGTTTGGTTTGCGCTAGCGTGCCTTGGGATCCCCCTTCATGTTGTTGAGGCCTTGAGAGGGACGGTAGTGTCAGTGTCCCAGCTGTGCGGGAAGGGGTGGCCCGGGTTGCGCACTTTGACAGCGTCGCCTGCAAAGCCCACCAGATTAGGAAATGGCCGAGAAGGACTGGAGCTTGTTTCTCTTTTGTCTCTTCTTTTTTTTCCCCCTCCCTATGAATTTGATGGTGCAAACACGACGCTCCTCGATCCCCTTCTTACCGTGGCGCCTCCGTATTCTGTCTTGGCACCTCCTTGCTGTAGCCGTTGCTTGCTACTCCTCAACTCCTGCCCCTCCGGAGCATTCAGGGTGCACCCGACCCTTTCAGCAAATCCTCCGCTCCTTCACATCCCCGTGGGAAAGGGATGGTGCGGGAAGAACCCGTGTGTCTCAACGTCCCTTTCCCTCCTCACCTTGGATTTTGTTTTGCTCACCTCGAGAGAACGCTCCTCACCGAGACAGGCATATATCTGTGCACTGAAGGTTGGGCGTGCATCCTGAGGCTGCTGCTCTGGTGAAGGTAGGTACTGCCTGAGGTAGGTGGACTTACCTAAAACTGGGTAGATCGGATAATTCAATTGGCCAGGTAGGCAGCCTACCTATGGAAGGTGCTCCGTGCTGGTCAACTACCTGACGTCTCTGTCCATCTTTCTGAACACTCGATGCTGCTCAGCCACTTCAATCCCGATTTACCTTATCGAGATATCCCAGACTCCCATCGATCCGAACGACTGGAAACCTCCGATTGCTTGTGCCTGTGCGACACGCGTTTACTCTTCTTGGCCGGACACTTTTCCCCCGGGTTCAAGCCCACTTGGTGCTGCATCTGCTCCGCTCCCCGTCTGAGGGCTTTCGGCCAGGCCGGCTCTCCAAGGCCCCCAAAGCCCAACGTCAGACGGACCACCTCCGGACCCGAGCTCGATCATGACTACAACCGGAGCCTCCTCTTGGTCTAGTGCAACATTATGCTACTGAGCCCTGCACCACCACCGTCTATCTAAGCTAGCCCAACCAAGAGACACATCGAGCCTGGGCACTGTCCCGTCACGACATCCTCATCAACTCCAGACACCCACCATCATGCCTCCCCTATCCCGCTCAAACTCATACGTCGATATCGACTATACCCTCAGACGCCAGTTCGGAAAAGAGACCTTCAGGTGAAGACATTCACGCCCGCACATGCCTCGTTTTTACATTCACGTCCACGTTTCCGTCTATTTGCCGCCCGACCATGAAGCTAACAACTCATCACAGGCCTCAGCAACGTGAAATCATCGCGACGGCCCTCGCCGGCAAAGATGTCTTCGTCCAGGCTGCCACGTCGTTTGGCAAGAGTCTCTGCTTCCAACTCCCTGCCTGCATTGACCACGGCAGTAAGTACCCGAAACTGCCCCGAGCACTCGCGGACGTTGTCAACTAACGTGATTCCTGTTGCGGCACAGTTACCATTGTCGTTTCGCCACTGCTCAGTCTCATGGTGAGGGATCTTCCATGTAGCCTTAGTCAGGCCCGACAGCTGACAGCTCCATCAGATGAATCAGGTTGAAGCCCTGCGATCGGCGGGCATCGACGCCAGCTCTCTCAACAGCAACACGCCGCCTGCTGAGAGAGACCGCATCAACCAAGATCTAGCTAGCGGCCATCCCCGCATCAGGTTGTTGTACGTGACCCCAGAATTGTGCTCTGGCGACCCGTTCAGGAGACGCATCAAGCTGGTCCACGAGCAATGCGAGTTGGCCCGCATCGCCGTTGACGAGGCCCACTGCATCTCCGAATGGGGCCACGACTTCCGCAAAGACTTCAAGCGTCTGTCATGGTTTCGTGAGACGTTCCCAAAGGTGCCCATCATGTGTTTGACGGCTACGGCGAACCCAGTGGTTCGCGAGGACCTGCTCAAGACCCTTGGTCTTTTGGAGCAGCCTGAGAGGCTTGAAAGCTTCGTCATGTCTGCATACCGGCCGAATCTGCACATTGAAATTAGATACACCAAGGACCAAGACGACAACCGCCTCTCTGACTTTCTCGCGTGGATACGTAGCGTGTACAAGAGAAGGAAAGAAGAGCCGCGCAAGTCGGAGCTTGAAGCCGATGGCGAGCGCCTGGACAACGTCTCGGGTATCATTTACACCATATCGCGAGATGAGTGCGAATCACTGGCGGCAGCACTGAGAGATGAAGGCGTAGGGGCAAGGCCTTTCCACGCGAAACTGACAAAAGAGACTAAAGAACAAACCCTATCCCGCTGGGTGAAGAATGAGCCTGGCTATGATATCATCGTGGCTACTACAGCTTTCGGGATGGGTATCGACAAGAATGACGTCCGCTTCGTCGTTCACTGGCGGCTCCCCAAGTCTTTTGAAGGATACTACCAAGAGGCAGGCCGCGCGGGGCGCGACGGCAACGCCAGTTTCTGCTTTCTATACTACAGTCGTGAAGATTTGCAGCGAGTGCAGAGTATGATTAGGAAAGGCAACCGTGACGGATCGAACTGGGAGGCTCAGGCAAAGAGCTTGCAGAGGCTCGCATTTTACTGCGAGGATACGACAGCCTGTCGCCATGCGCAGATCTGCAAGTATTTTGGAGAGAGCGAGATGCCCAAGTGCGACTATGCGTGTGATTGGCACAAGGATGCGTCGGGTCTGCAGAGGCGTTTGATGCGCGGCTTAGCCGACGAGGAGTGGGTTAGCACCCAAGCTCAGTACGGTCAGTATGAAGGTTATTATGACGACTAGGAGGTTTGTTTGAAGCTTGTCGGGTGCAGGCTTGGCCAGGTGCGATACCCAGGACAGTCGCTGCCCTTTTAAGACTTCCCTTTGATGAACTGGACCCCTTAAGCTACGTTTCTTTATGAGTGCAGCCGATATTGGCTCTAGCGATTTGGTTACCACGAGGTGAACGCCGTTTCATCTGGTGGTATCTTGAGATGACGATGTCCTGCCTAGGGGAATTCCTTTTACAGCCCCGAAAGACGAGTTAGCGCTCCAAATGTTTAAGAACGGTCAATGAAGGTGGAAAAGACGTGATTCATTAGAAAAGGGCTCTGCTGACCCGCTGCTTTAGCTTTGAGAGGCTGGAGGCAAGTTCTGGAAGTAGAATACTGTTGGCGTAGTGACACCGTTCTCCGTCGTGCCATCATAGCCCAACAACTTCATCCGTCCTGACACCCCGTCGAGAAAATCAACTTCATACAACTCGTCGGCATCAAACACGCCCGGCGATATGTGCATGCCCGATTCCGACTGGATGACAAACATCTTATCTCCTCCGAACCACGTCTTCTCCGTCAGGCCCGCGCTCGAGGCCAGGAACTTGCGAGGCGGTTCACCGCTGCTTCCCAGACCCAGACTCTGCACGTTGGAGATCAGGTCGCGGATCTCGTAGACCCCCTTGTCTCCTTTGCTGATAATGCCGCTTTCGAAGTCGGTGAGCATGGTCATCGTCGCATCGTCCAGCGCGGTGGTCCGTCGCACCAGCCCCTTGAACGGCGGGATCTTGGCCGCCGCGGATTTCAGCGCGCTGTCGTGGATCTCGTAGAGGTCCGCCCACGCCTTGAAGGCGCCTATCTCGGACCTCGTGAGCTTGTACTTGGCGGCGAAGTCGCGCACGATCTTCTTGCGCTCGGCGACGTCGGTCGTGGCCTCGATGCGAGTGCGGAAGGACTGCAGATCGGGGTCGGCGAAGTCGGGCATGTACCGCTCGCCCGTACGGGAGCCGTCCCACTTGCTCTTGAGGTCCGCGAGGAGCGTGGACTCCTCGGCGGTCAGGCCCTCGGCCTTGACATGCGCCGGGATCGCGGCCGGCGGCTCGTACTCCCAGTCGGAGTCGGACTCCGAGTCAGAGCCTGAGTCGCTGTCGTAGTTCGCCCGACCCTCGTTGACGTTGTCTGCGAACGTGGAGAAGTCGCAGCTCAGGTCCAGGTCCGACAGGTCTCCCAGCAGGCTGCCCTGGCGCTTCTTCCTGGCGCCGCGGGCAATCTTTTCGCAGTTGAGGAAGCCGTTGTTCTCGATGTCTTCGAGCGCGACCTTCTCATCTTTTGTGGTCTTGAACACCTCGGGGTCGCCCTTGGGTCCCTTCTTGTAGATGCGCACCGCTTTGCCTCCGTCGGCGCTCGCGGCCTCCAAGACCTGGCCGCCCTCAACGGCTTTGGGGACGAACTTGCCCAACAGATCGGGCAGATACTTGCCGGCCCCGAGTGCCTTCGCGGCTTCGACGGCATCGGCGACGGGTGCCAGGATCTGGACCACTTCCGCCGTCACTCCACCGGCTTTCTCGAGGTCGCCCTGGTACTTGAGGCTGGGGACGGCCTCGCCGGTGTGGAGGCGCCAGAGGGTGTCGCATCCCTTCTTAACGCGCGGTGCGAGGTCGCCCTTTAGGGCGTCGACGATGGCCACCATGCCATGGCAGAGCGTAACCTGGAACTCGCGCAGGTCGTCGTCGAAGTGTGTCACAAAGTCGACGGCCGAGTTGATGATGGACTTCGCGAAGCCGACCCAGAACTGGTCCTCGGCCGGGAGCCAGCTCTCGTTGGGGTCTCCAAAGAGGGGATCTTTAGCGTTCTGGCGGCCGTGGAGGAGGAGCTCATGGCTTCGGTGGAGGGAAGTTCGCGGATAGCTCCGGCGCAGGCGCTGGTATGCGGACTGGGACGGCGGAGGCCCGGTCGCGAAGACGATGCCAGGGAACAGGCCTGACAGGCATGCGGCTCCCGCGGGGTTCGTGACACAGGGGCCCTGACTTACACGCCTCAAACAACCTTCGATGGCGTCGTCACCGACGACTTGCGTGGAATTGGGGCCCGCGGTCTTGGGGAGGTCGCCGCAGAAGGCCGGGAAGAGGTGCAGCACGCATTCTCGGGACTAGGGCGTCGCGCTGCAGTTGGACGGGACGGTCTTTGCGGTCTTTGCGACGAGGCAGTCCATGCTACGCGGGGCGTAGGTGACGTCGTCCGCCATGCATCCGGGCAGCTCGATCAGGTCCACGGGGCCGGCGGGCATCGCCGCGCCGGCGATGGTAGACGCGCGGTCCTCGGCGCGCGCCTCGCTGGACCGGACGACGCTGCCGGAGTCGGCTTCGTAGAAGCAGAAGGCGGACTCGTCGTCGGACTCGGCCCACCCGATGGCGTCGCCCGCGTTGGCCGGGACCGCCAACCGGTCGAGGCCTTGCTTGACGATCTGGAAGGGCCCCGATGCCGCGGGCGCCCGCCAGGCTTCCACCCAGAACGTCTGGTTGTCTGCGTACGTACACGGCGTCGTTGTGATGGTGGCGCCCTGGTTGTCGGATATGGACCAGCAGCCGCCGCCGGCCGCGACCGGCTCGGCGTTCCGGATGCCGGTGCGGGTGGCCGAGTCCCAGCGCTCGCCGGCTGTGGTGTGGAAGCCGTTTGTGAAGTAGAATGATTTCCCTGCGTTTGACGGTTGTTCAGCGCCCGCGACGACGGTTTTGTCCGTCGAGAAGACTGGGAGGTATGTCGAGTTTGCGGCGGCGTCGGCGTAGGTCTCGGGGCATTGCGTTGCTTTGGTCATGAACGCATGCATGCGCATGCCGACTGTCTATAATCATATTGTTAACCTTGGTAGAGTGTTTGTGCGATGCTGTTTGGGACTTACCCAGTCTACTTGGGCTGCAGAGGCAACCGAGACTGTAGCGGCTAGGGCGGTAGAGCATAGCAATGACTTGATCTCGAGAGTGAAAGACAGTTATGAGAAGGAATGACAGTGATAATGAATGTAATTCGCGCTATTGGCGTAATCGGCGTGATGAGCCTAAAGAGTGTACTGAAGACCTGTTGCTATTAGCCCAACTGACCTACCCATGGTCCTCTTGAGAACTTTTATACATCTTTTCCCGAGTCAACAGAAATCAGCAAAGCTGCTTCATGACTTTCAACCGTCTACCTCTCACAGGGCAGTCACGTCAAATAGAACGAGAGAGGCGGTGCCATCAAATTTAGTCTTTACATAGCAGCACGAAGGTTGAAGATAAATCAAGGGGAACAAGATCATGCGTAGACCATCTGTACCAGCCAAGGAGCAGTTCCAGTACAGGGTGCCATGTAAAGATCAGAATTGTCGAACCAGCGTCAGCGGATGGGGATTCTGGTTAGCCGAGCTCTCGGCTGTGTCTTGTCGTCCTATTTTGGGCACTTTGTTGGTCGCCCAAGGGATTTATTTTAGCAACTTTTCTAGCGCATACTAATCTGATTATGCATGTTTTCCACACTCTGTAAAGCATACCATGAGTCGTGAAGGCAGTTTGTGCCGTTCCTGCCATTACGCGGTCTCCTCGGCTTTCTCGTATTTGCCGTCAATACTCCGTCTAGATCTCCACCTTTTGGTATCCCCTGCGCAAGATCAAACAGCGAAAGGGACGTGAATAATAAAAGGCAGTGCTATCTCGTTTTCGCGTTGCGACGTCGACTGTGGGTCTGCCTGTTAGAAGTCATAGAAGTCAACGGGAAATGGCCATTGGGGTGTAGTCGCGCCCTGACGAGTGCCCTCCGGAAAAGTCTACCTATTTAGTCCTATAGAGTCATGGGTTAGCGAACACTACCGGGAGGTTCAGACTGCGTGATGGAATGAGCAAGGACCAACAGGAAGAGCTACTGACATGAGTAAGAGAGACGTTTGAAGTAGCTAAAGGTAATAAAAGAAAACATTCATGAATGTAAAAAGTGAGCGCATGAATGCCCGTAAGAGCCTTGGCAAGGAGTAGGTCTCAGGGCGCGAGAGCAAGACAACTTGGGACAATAGTAATATGCTTCATAACGTTCCTGTTCACACAACTCATAGATTCCGTAGCTTGAGTTGCCATTCTTCACACATTTCTACTGTTCAATTCTCCAGTCCGAAGCCTTGAAGTACTCAAGTAAGTGGAATTTGAAGGATTGCTAATTCCTCATGAGTCTCTCTACCCTGCGACTACCAAGCCTTACCGACTCTGCTAGGAAGAAGCCTTGTCCACCTTGATGAACAAGTCCTTCTGCGAGTCAAGGTAATCAAACGCCCCCAGGGGCACGCCCAAGTGGCGCAGAATGCAGTACGCAGAACCCAGGTGAAAGTGGAAGTTGGGGCACGCGTACTGGATCGCGTACGTGTACCCCGTGAACCTGAAGTTGCCCATCTTGGACTCGAGGATGACCTCGGCGTCCTCCTTGCCCTCGAACGACTCGGGCGGGATGGCCTTGAGGATGTCGACGGTGCGGTCGACACGGGACTGGAGCTGGGGGAAGGTCGTCTCGTCGTCTGCGAAGAAGACGTCCTCCTGCTTGCCGAGGCGGGTTGCCATGAATTTTGCGGTGTTGGAGCAGGACTGGACCTGGTAGTCGAGGCTGTGGGTAGGGGTGATGTTAGTCAGGGGTGGGCTTTGCGGGGAGGAGGTGGGTGGGCAGGTAGGTGGATAGTTAGGGAGATCACGGACCCTCGCATGTCTGCGATGAGACGGAACTTGATCATTTCTTGGGGGTCGAGGCCCTTGTCGACGCAGTGCTTCTCGGCTTTGGTGAGGATGAGCTTGAGGTTCCCGAGGTATTTGATCATCATGGGGATGGAGGCATTGTAGAGGGAAACCATCTCGGCGGTGTTGTATGTATTTTTCTTAAAGAGCCAAAAGAATAACTTGGACTCAAAAACAGAGTAGATAGTGATCTAATGAATAGAATAATTCAAGAACATTGTATGCCCGCGGGCAGTTCTCCTCTATTTATTCATGGTCATTGTCTACTGTTTCGAATGAGAGACACCAAAGTACAAAAGATCTTTCGTCCTAAAGGCTGCTCAACGACCCCGCCCTGGATAGTACATGTAACCAAGGCCGACAAACAAGCTTCAAGTTTCGTAATGAGGCTGTCGTCTAGCCATTTTCTGTCTGGCTTGCTAATCCTTCATAGGTAAATCAGGAACGCTCCATCAGACAGCATTTGGGCAACGGCAAGTGCTGACGTGAGGTGTCTCAAGAATGAAGGAATACACAAAGCGACGTACTTCCGATGCGCAATCAAAGCTCTCAAATTCCTGTGAAATTGTACAAAGGCACGCTAAAACAGCTGATAGGAAGCGTACCAGGCCCCACGGTGCCGATATCAAGGGGCCGTCGGGACGGTCCCGGCCCCACTAATGACGACCCCACCATGCGGACTTGTCAGCCAAAGCTCCCCCGCAAGCTCTGATTCGTCCACACCGCGAGTTACCCGATCTAGATAGGTAGGACTACTTTAGATCCAACTCCCCTCCTCTTCTGCCTCGCGAACGTTCAGCCACCCGGGACGTTTCGCGCATCTTTGATTACATATCGCGGCACGGCAACTTCGGATATCTCTGCTTACCAACGCGCACGCGCGCGAAGTAACAAGAAGAAAGTCCCTCATACCGGCCCACCCACCCCGGCGTCATGTTCTCCTCATCCTCGTCCTCCGCAGCGAGGACCCCTGCACCGCCGCCGGCGCCGGCTCCGGCGTCGTCAACAAGCACCGCGACGACGTCCCAGCATCTCAGCGTCTCCAGCGCGGCGCACCCGCAGCAGTCGCAGTCGAGCAACACCTCCGTCTCCGGGGGTCCTCCCGGCCCCGCTCCGCAGCAACAGCAGCAGCTCCACCAGACGCTGCCCTCCGAGGACCAGCAGCAGCACATCTCGGAGGCGCGCGCGGCGGTGGTGGCGTCCATCGGGAACATGCTCGACGGGGAGCTGCAGACGCGGGCGCGCATGTTGCACTCCAACGCGGCGGCGCTGGACAAGCAGGAGCGCGACGTGGTCAAGGCGACGGACGCGCTGCGGAAAGAGAACGACAAGTTGGCCAAGTTCACTGTTGACGCGGCGCGGCGGGTGAAGGAGCTTGGGAACGTGCAGAACTGGGCCGAGGTCCTAGAGAGGGATTTCCTGGTGTTGGAGGAGACGTTCCGGTTGGTTAGGGAGGGGAGCTGCGAGAGTTGCGGGAGCGGGAGTTGGAGTGGAAGCGGCAGCTGGAGCGGCAGCGAGAATGGGGATGTGAGGATGGGAGAGGGCGAGGAGGGTAAGGGGAAGGGGAAGCAGGTTGAGGGGGCGATGGAGCTGGATGGGAGCCATGAGAATTGCTCCGAGGCAAGTCAGAGTGTTACTGAGGCTGGGTCGAGTAATGCGAAGGGGTCTGAGACGACCTCTATCTCGACGCTTTGACGGACGGATTGAACGGGACACGATACCACTTTACGACGTATGACACTTTACGAGACGAGATACACGCGGATGCAGCGGTAACGACTTTGCGCCTGGATTATTGGTCTATATGTCTTGTATGAACTTCATAATACATCTCATAACTTTTCGTCAGGCCGCCAGTATTATCACCTGGCCAGGGCAGGCATGCTTTGTTCATAGGTCGGGCTCGCACCTAACGAGGCGCTTAGAAGATGCCGGGCAGCAGGACAAACTTCTTCTTCTTGTAGGTCTCGGGGAACTCCTTGCGGTATGCGCGCTCCTTGCCCTTGGCCCACTGCGACATCTGAACGCCGCCGATGACGATGAAGAGGAGGACGGCCCAGCTGCGGGAGGCGATGACGACGCCGATCCAGGAGATGATCTCGAACATGTAGTTGGGGCAGGTGACAAGGGAGAAGCCGTAGCCGCGGGGGATCTGGCGCTCAGTGCCGCCGCGGGAGCGCAGGCTGGCTAGGTTGAGGTGGACGAGGGCGTTGGAGGCCTCGCCGAAGAGGAAGACGATTGTGCCAAGGACGTCAACGGCGTCGTTGCGGGCGAGGGCGGTAGGGGAGGTCGGGGAGTAGATGTGCCAAGCGCAGAGCAAGCCGGAAAAGGCCCAGTAGAAGAAGGAGTTCTTGAAGATGTTGCGCATGGGCATGGTGTTCGCGGAGAACTTGTGGACGAAGAGGGTCTCGTACTCGCGCTTCATGAAGTGGCCGAGGAACATGGCGAAGACGAGAAGCTGGGTCGGGGAGAGGGACTTGTTGGAGGCGCCGGAGTAGATGTAGGGGCGCAGGGCGACGAAAGCACCGTGGATGAGGAGAGGGCCGAGGTACTCGATAACGAAGACGGTGCTCCATGCCATTTGGGGGCCTGTTGTAACCACAGTTAGCAATTGAGGGTGTTGGGACAGGTAACGAAGCTTCAACATACCGAGATCCTTGACGAGAACCTGACCTGCGGACATCACGGCGGCCTCGGTGCCAATCTGCGCCTTGCGGTTCTTCAGAGTCTTTTGCGTGGCAGGGTCGAAGAGACCGACGCGGTTGAAGTCGCCCAAGCCCGTCTCACGGGCAATGAGCTTCTTGACATCCTCAACGGTGGTGTCGGGGGAGATCTCGATCGACTCGGGGAGCTTCTTGACGGGCTGCTTGGGAGCTATTTGGTACGTGTAAGTTTATTTTTCTTTTTAGACAGGGGGCTTCTAGTCTGCGAATTGCTCAGAACAGGAGACACAAAGAAAATACTTACAGCGACTGCTCAACTTGAGCGTAATTTTGGCGGCCATTGTGGTGATTATTCCCCCCAGAAGTGTTGGAGTACGGTGTGTACGAGCTGCACTTGTGGTAGGGTTGAAGGATTGTCTTGAAGCTGGAGGGGGGTCTTCGAATTCGTTGGGAACCATGCAGTGCTTGAAGCACGGCCGTTGCATGGACACCTCGGCTTGTGTGGGGTCGCACCGAAAGCGCACTTATCCCGCCTATTCAATTAACACATGTATGTGTTAAACCAACTGTTAAGGGTTGAAGGCATCGCGACCTCATTGATCACGGTGAACATTTCAAAAGGCACAAAAAAGAGGCTTATAGACTCATATAGGCAATCTATTATATGTATGTACATAAGAAATCCAAAGAACGAGTTCATACATGCCCGGCCCACAAGAAGCCGCACTACTTCATGAGATTGGCGTAAGTTACGAATAGGGGCCACAATGAACATTAGAAATAATCTCGATTATCTGGTCTTTGGTCTAGATAGACGACAGCGAAAAGACGTCTTAACGGAGTTCGAAGAAAAAATTGAGGTCGAGAGGGCGAAAAATCTTAGTGTGGCCTTCGGCGGTGGAACCTACGACGCCGCATGTGGGATCTACATGTCATCCTCATAACTGTCGCTGAGTTGGGCACCTTCATGATGACCTTGAAAACATGAGACTGAAAGCTCCCAGTAGGTACTCTGCCGGTATAATGGATAGGCAGGAAGGTGCAGGAAAGTGTGCCTCTATTGCGGAAAAAGCACCTACCCCTAGGGGCTGGACTGTCTTTTGCAACTTGCGCACCCTGACTGATCAGAATCACGGACCCAAGAAAACAGCCTCCTTTTTCACCTTCGAATGACCGTAAGCCAGACAAAATGGTGCCGCGTGTCGACGACATCAGTGTGGACTTCTCCATGCAACAGTTCCCCAGCCTCGATCGAATTCCCTAAGGATTCCCCCCCTCGAAACCTTGCCGAATCTGCAAGCAGAAAACACAAAACTTGCCCTAGTCAGATTTGGACAAGTTCGCGATTCTGTGCGCAAAATAATTGCGTGCATTTCCAAGGGTTGTCCATAATCATCTTGTTTTGCGCTTCCAAAACAACCTCCTCCTGACTGTGCCGCCCAACTTATGCCAGAGAGAGTGTGTGTTCCGTGTACCTCTGTGACTAGAAACAAGTGGCTTTAAATGAGTCTTGCTGGTCTTTGGGTCGTGTTCTGGATGTGGTCAGCCCATGGAACAACTTCTTTATCGTCGCCTTCCTTGTTCGGCCGAAGTGAACTAGGTAGTCGAGACAAGTTCCTGCGTCCTGTTGGGTTTGATCAATATTCTGGAAGTCTCGCTCGGAAAGTCTCAGGGGCAGAATACGTACGGAATAGTCCAGTGTTCTGGGTTATGTTCGATGTTCACCCTGAGGTCGGCTTTGGTCCGAGTCGAAGAGGTTGTTTAAGCGGTCCTGGACCTGCCTTTCGCTCGCTTCGCCAGTAACCTTTGCGACGACCTCTTGCCTCGTAGCTGCCTTGCATAAAGCAGACGTTCTACAAGGCTGTCCGTAGGTAGGTACACATCTACACCCCCAGGTTTCCGTCGAACTTCCTCCGCATCAACACCTAACGCTCTGAATCCGCCCGCATCACCGACGGATTTTCTCATCGTTACCATCATTTTTCGTCCATCGATTTTCTGCGCGACGCGCCGGCTTACCTCGACGTTCCATTCCATCCTTATTCGCCACCTCTTACCCTCGCAGTCGACACATTCGCTTCTTATCGTATCAATATCCATCAACTTCGGCATGCCCTTGTAGAACGAAGGGAGTCGGCCAGCGGTAGCACCCATCCATACGGATTCCCTTCCCAATCACACCACTGGCCCCCGATCTCGTGCCAGATCGCGTCGCCCATATTAATCCGAACGCGTGCTTGCCGGATACCAACGTCGTCATGACCCAGCCACAGAGTAATCCCGACACCATCGCCGCTGCCTCCACGCCAGTCTTCGAGCGCCACCAGGACGACAGCTCTCCGATTTCAGCCCATCATAGGTCTTGGTCTAGCTCGCCTTCCAATTTTGATGGCGATACCGACATTGACCGAGATGCCTATAAACGATCGTTAGCAAACCGGCCTCCGGCCAATGCGCCTAAGGGGCCGGCAGCCGATCGATTTCGCGGACAGAACCAAGACAGTCGGCCACCGCCCAACGCTCCGACTGGCCCTGCTGCTCACAGAAAGAAGGAAGTGAACCGGAACCATTTCGGCAGATCACATCAGCAACCGGTAATCCCAGCCGTCGCGCATCCGAATTCCAAAACGTGGTCTAGCAAGGACTACAAGGAGATGAAAATGTTCGGGAAGGGAATGGAGCAGATGAAATATAGGCGCATGGCTAATTCTCCTTGTGTCCTCCGAACTGCCTCGGAATACATGATCCTGAGAGAAGAAAATTTGCAAAGAGCCAAACAACATATTGCGTGGAAGAAGCAGCATGACAAAGAGGAAAGGGATGATCGAATAAGCAACAACAAGAATACGTCTCTGCCCTGCGAAAAGCTTTTATCGCGCGAGTTGTTCCCGAGGTGCTCCGCGCAGATATACTGGCATGCCGGCTCCACCAAGGGCCTCCGAGACTGGCCAACTTCTAACGACTTCAAAAACCATGGAGATAGGAGAAACGAGCGAGGAAAGAAGCAAATTCTTCCCCTGGACGAAAGAAACGAGTTTCAGCCAATAGACTCCAGAAAATCAAACGGCGCACAAAAGGACGCGGCGGCCTCAGACGATCAGCAGATCAGACTCAAAGAGCTTCCTAAGCGGTGCCAAGAGCTGATCAAGGACTTGATCGACGAGGACGACGAGAAGAACACTGAGAGATATGTTTAGGAACATGTAAGAGGGGGATGGGAGGAACATGGATGGTACCTGGTTGATGGGCGAGCAACCATGCTTTGGCAAAATACCGTTGGATACGAACAGAATTCTTACGATGCTTGGCTTGACTGGCAGCGGATTCACCAGCAGCATCTAAGCAGAAAGAAGCGGCTATATGCTTTACAGAGCATCCCAGAATAGGCGTATCAGCGCCACGGAGCGAGAACGGTTTGATTGTGAGTGGCCGGTTGGATGGCCCAGGGAGTACGGGTTTGCGACATTATTGAGCTCAGGGTTAGCATATATCGGAATCCTAGCGACGTGGCAATGAGAGCAACATTTCCCTCGGTTTTGAGTGGTTGATGACAATTGTTGATCCTCTTCTACTGACATGCTCGTGTGGGTTGAGAAAGGGAAGTTGAATTTTAGTCAGGCCGAGAATAGCCTCAAAGAAGAGGCGCAACTAGCAAAATTGGCATGAGTGCAAAGTCAGCGCAATTGGAAGAGCCTTTAGCTTTATGGTAAGTTGGCCTCCGGCATTTGTCTGTTTGAAAGCAGCGCGCCTTAGCTTTCTCAAAGACCGACGTGGACATCAATGTCCTCAGACAAGCTTCAGTACAAAGTGAGGTGAGGTAATCCGGAGCTGGCAAGCTCTCCCCGCACTCAGCCAAGGAGCAAGAGCTGAGAGCTCAAGTAAGTAAGGTATTGATCCGGAGTTCAGCCGGACCCTCACGCCAGGCGGGCAGCAGCCAGTGGGAGGGCTCCGTCCTAATGCGGCCAGGTGAGGGGTGGAGACCTCAGCCTCTCGCTTTCTCTGTCCTTTCAAACTCCACGTCCAGGCTTCTTTCACAGCTCAGTGGTCCGTCCTGGTCAAATCTTTCCTCCACACAAATAAACCTCCCCTACTCGCTCTCCTGCCTCTTCACTCCTCTCGACACCACTCCCACCCCCCCGATTCCATCCCCCCCCATACCATTGCGCATCCTTCTCCCGCGTTGTATTTTTTCCTCATTCTATCCAGCAGCGCATCAATCGCAACTTGATTTCATTTTTCCATTTCCATCGTTCCACAGTCGCGACTACCAGCTTCGTTGCGTGCTTTACGCGACCCCTCGCACAGCCGAGATGTCAGAATTCTTAGGGTACGGAGACCTGTCCACCACGCCCCCGATCCACTCCCATCGCGTCTTTAAATGCGCGCAATCTTACTTATTTCGCTAACTTCCTTCTTCTTAGATCTCGCATCTCCCTCATCTCCAAAAGCGACATTCGGTAAGGACTTGGTGGACGTCCACGTTGCTCCCCAGTCCCCTTGCTCATCGCCTCTAGATATGTCGGCGTTCTTCACGAGATCAACTCGGACGAGTCCACCGTCTCGCTCGAAAATGTCCGCTCTTTCGGCACTGAGGGTCGGAGGAGTAGACCCGAAGAAGAGATAGCACCTTCCGATCAGGTTTACGACTACATCATCTTCCGCGGCAGCGATGTCAAGGACCTGAGGATCGAGGACCACCCGGCTATCAAGGAGAACAAGCCTCCTGCTATGCCCGAGGACCCGGCCATTGTCAACGTAAGTTTTGTCCATCTTGCTCACCCTCCTTGACAACGCCTGTATGATGAAGTATTGCGGATGTAAAAATTATCGTCTTGTCGGAAAAGCGCAAAAACGATGTCGAAATTTCCGTTGCCTTCCTTCTGACTCACGGCTCTACTCTGTCTTGGAATATGCACAAGTTTTTCGTCTCTGGACATAGCTGACAGGTTCCAAACTCAGGCTCGCCCTCGTCCTGGACAAGGATCCAACCAACCGCCGCCGGCACCAGGCTTCGGTCAGCCTCCTTTCCAAAACAACTTCTACCCGCCCCCTGGGCCATGGGGACCTGCCCCTGGGCGCGGCGGCCCCGGTGTGCCTGGTGCTGGAATGGGCGGCATGCCCTACCCCCCTCCTCCGGGCTGGTTTCCTCCCGGCCCTCCCGGCCAAGGTTTCCCTCCTGGACCTGATGGGTGGAACAACTACAACTACCCTCCTGGCCCCCCCGGACCTCGTGGTCCTCCTGGCCCTCAAGGCCCCGGAGGTGCGCCCGGCCAGGTCCCTGAGAACCGCGGCACGCCCGGCGCCCAGGAGGCGAAGCCCACCCCGATCGGCGCTGCTGGTGACAAGCAGAAGCCCGCTACACCGGCGGCACAGGGAGCCCCGAGTGAGCCCAAGGCGGCTCCTCAGCCCGGCCTCCAGCAGGCCCCTGCACCCACCCCGCCAGTCGAGTCGAAGCCTTCGGTTGCCGAGGTTAAGGCAACGGCTGCTTCTTTGAACGCAGCTGGCCCTTCCAAGCCTGTTGAGTTGCCTGTGCCGACGGGACCTAAGAACCCTGCGCGGGTTCAGCCTGCTATTCCTCTGGCTGCGTCCATGCCCAAGGCCTTCCCTGTTCCTATTAACGAGAACACCGCTGCTCAGTCTGCGCCCAAGGCCGCCGCCGCACCAACGGCTGCGACTGTGAGAGATGCCACCGAGGCCGCAAAGGCCGCCGTTGCCCTCGCTATGGCCAACATGAACGCTGGCGCCGCTGCCGTCTCCGCTCCGCCCCCTCAGGGCAACGGCAACGCTATGGACAACCTTACTAAGAAGGTCAACGAAATGAGAGTCAATGCTGCTCGGACTACGCCCGGAGGTGGACGTGGACGTGGCCGTGGCGGACGACAGGGACAGGGCCAAGCCAAGGTCGACGTCCCCGATGCGGATTTCGACTTTGCGCAAGCCAACGCCAAGTTTAACAAGGACGACTTGGTCAAGGAAGCCATCGCTGGCTCTCCCCTGGGCGAGACCCCAACCAACGGAGCTGCGCCTGAGGCGCCCGCTGTCGAGACGACCGGTGCTAACCCACCGATTGCATACAACAAGACACGGTCATTCTTCGACAACATTTCTAGCGAAGCCAAAGACCGCGCCGAGAACAACGGCCAGAAGCCGGGTGGTCGTGAATGGCGCGGCGAGGAGCAACGCAAGAATATGGAAACCTTCGGCCAGGGCAGCGTTGACGGTGGATACCGAGGCTACCGTGGCAGAGGTCGCGGCCGAGGCCGTGGCTATGCTGGTCGTGGCACAAGAGGTGGATTCCGCGGCCGTGGCGGCCAAGGTGCCACCCCTCCGGCTGCGAACTAGGTGCAGCATGCGATTCGGATGTCTACGGTTAGATTGCGTGGCTTCGCCGAGTGAAAACCACGGACTCGAAGAAGAAAAGTTCATGATTTCTATGGACGTCATTCAGTTTTGCATGGAGATACTGAAAGGAGTTCCTTTCAAAACACTTTCTATGATGTATTATCACTCCCTCGATTATCGGGTTTTCTCAGATTCCGTTGGCGACGGAGCACTGGGCTGGCAAGTCCCTTATTGGTTTGGCCAGAAGGGCAGGAATCATAGGACTGCTATTTTGATACGCATGGGATCGGCTGGAGTTTGGCAAGTGGTAGCCGCAAGAGCTGCGGTCTCATGATTGCGAATGACGACAAAAGGAATTTCAGGCGTGGTGGCAAGCATTAGGTTCTAGGAAAAGAACGAGGGAGAGATCCATGCGATATGGAATGACGAAACGGAAAAGCAATTTTTTTGGTGGTATTCCTAGAAACAGGCAAGAAGCTAACGAGGTGAAATCTGAGCCTCGTTTGCAGAAAATACAAAGACTGTCAATCGCCGCCATTGAAAATTGCCACACCGTGCTTGGAGAACAGCTTCTCTCGTGATGTTAGTCGTTGCCTCGCCGTTAAGGACCATGCACATTTTGATAATCAACAACTCACGACGGAGAGATGCAATGAAGTCATCAGTGCGATTTGTTTGGACGATTCATTGTGCGGCCCTAATTTCAGGGAGTGTTACTGGCCGAAGTGTGGTTGAGTTGAGGTTCATCTGGTTTTGCCTCACAAGAGTTTGTAGCTGTACGCTCCCTCACTGTACCTGAGATGCGTGTAGGCCAATTTTCTGCCCCGCCTAACCCCGCCACACGTCATGTTGGCACTTCGGCGTGACGCATTACTGCAAGCAGCCTTTCCGACAGCACAAACATTTCCCCTCGACTTCCATACCATTTGTCGCATTTGCCTCAATTGCACAAGAACCACCACGAAAATTTCTACAAGCCCGCCATTATGTCGAGCCGTCAGCTTCGCAAGCTGCAGAAGCAGCGAGAGCTCGAACAGCTCCAGGAGACCAAGGCGGCCGAAGAGTCCAGCGAAGATGACGAGCCTGAACCCGCACCTATCAAGCCCCGCCAGAGCTTGTTCGCAGCCCTAGGTGGCGGCGACGACGACGATGATGACGAAAAATCCGATGATGCCCAGGAAGAGACGAAGGCTGAGCCCGAACCCGAACCTGTCCCGCAGCCAGCAAAGAAGAAGAATAAGAAAAAGAAGAAGAAGGCCAAGAAGCAGGCAGCGCAGAGCAAGGACGAGTCGGAAGATGAGAAGGACGACGAGATTGACAGAGCGCTTGAGGAGCTCAGCGCTGCCCGCAAGAACGAGTCGAATGCCGCGGCCAACCTTGCGCAGCGAAGCCGCGACGTCGACGAGCTTTTGCAGATCAATACCCAGTACCTTCGAGCCATCAACGAAATGCGCGCGCTGTTCGGAAAGGAGGCTATACAAACGGCGCAGGAAGAGGAGAGGGCTGAGCTGGAGGCGGCGCGGAGAGCGCAGCGACACACAAATCAGGGCGTCGACCTCGAGACTGCTCTCCGCGGCGACCCGCGCAAGAAGCTCCCTGAGATATCCCTGCGGCGCAACGTCTTTATCCAAGGCAAGGAGACTTGGCCCCGTGCTACTGCCGTCGGTCTGGTCATGAAGGAAATCAAGAAGGGCACGGATGGTCTCGTGGAGTTCGCCTTTGTCCACGAGCAGGCCTACGACAATGTACAGATAATGTTCTTCAGCTGCGTACAGCTGGGCGATCCGATGCAGCTGGTCCAGCTGCTGATGCGACACCCTTATCACATCTCGACCCTGCTTCAGGTGAGCAAGGTCGCCGTGCAAGATCAGAACCAAGCTCTTGCGGCAGACCTCTGCGAGAGGGCGCTGTTCACGTTCGGCCGGGCTACGACGTCTGCTTTCCGCCAGAAGCTGGAGCAGGGCAAGGCTCGCTTGGACTTCCGCCGCCCAGAGAACCGCGAGCTCTGGCTTGCTGGGTACACATATCTCAAGAGTCTGGTCCGCAAGGGAACCTACAGGACAGCGCTAGAGTGGGCGAAACTGCTCTACGGCTTGAACCCCAACGACCCCTACGGCATGAAATACTTCATCCACGTCCTTGCCATCCGCGCGCGACAGGCACAGTGGCTCGTCGACTTCCTCAACACCCCGGAGTATGTGTCGGACGAGACGGACGATACTTACATCACACAAACGCTAGTCCTGGCCAAGCTGCAACTCGGCGACTTTGAAGGTGCAAAGACGGCCGCTGTGGCTGGTATGGAGCGCCTCCCGTGGTTGTACTGTGCCATTTTCCAAGCACTCAACCTCGAGGCGCCCCCTCCCCTCTGGGCTGTGCAGCCTGACACTGACGAACGCGATTTCTGGACACGGCTCTATGTGCACCAAGCAAAGGATATTTGGAACAACACCCAGGCGATCGAAGTACTCAAGGAAGCCGTCAAGGTTGCGAAGAAGCCCACAGAGAGCCTCCCGCAAGACAGGCAACCAGACACCCGGACGGCCAGATGGGTGTGGCTTGAGGATGCGCCGAGTCTGCTCGGCGGCATTCCGAGGTCGATCTTGACGCAGGAGCCCAACTACGCTTTCGACCCGCTGCCGCCGCCGAAGGAGTCAAACATTTTCACAAGTCAGGGAACGCAGATGCCCTGGCGCAGCGGACCAAGTGAACGGGATATGCTGGCTCAAGAAAGGCAGCTCATGAACATGCTGAGGAGACAGCAGGAGCGGGCCGCTGTGATGGGCGGTGCTGGTGCGGCGGGCGCTGGTGCCGGAGCGATGATGGGTGCGTTCCCTGATGATGACGAGAATGGCGAGGGCAATGCGTGGGAAGGTGATTTTGTCATCGACGATGACGACGACCTTGAGGAAGGCGATGGACGCCAGCCGCCGTCCGCCGGGGTTGTGGCGAGACTTGCGGACCTGCTGGCGTCCCTGGTACCTGGCGGATGGCAGGGTGGGCTTCCAGACGATGACGAGGAAACAGATCCGGAGGACGACGAGCTGCCGCCGTTGGTGGACGCCGATGAGGACGTCGAGGACAGCGAGCCCCGGATGCCTGGTGGATTCCACTAGAGTGAATATCTGGAGGATTTGCTGGGCTGGCCCGTTGAAAAGTTGTCCCTCCTCTGTAGTATACTTAGACAAATAGAGCCGCAAACTTGCATGGAACAATTCCATTGACACATTGAATCTCGACAAAACTTGCCGTTGCCCAGCTCATGAAGACCCAGGCTCATCTGCACACGGACCCCTGCACCCCGTCAGTTACCCGAGACGGGTTCGACCGCACGTGACATCCATGGAGGAGGGGAGCTGGGCGCAGCGCGGCAACCATGGTGAGAGGGACAAGAAAGGACACCTTGAGCTTTCCCGAGCTTTGGGACTGAGAGACGCTGCTTGCTGCACAAGCACCGTCGATCTGGAGGGGAGGGGCTGTTCAGGGGCAGGACCTTGGGACGCTGCAGGTGTGAAAGGCGGCGATGATGTGAAATGAAATGCGCTCAACGGGTACGGGCGGGAATGGGGCACGTTTCAGGGGAAAGGGACAGACACTTTGTTGAAGTCTTGCTGCAGTGCTTGTTGCTGGTTCTTCTTTCTTTGGGCGGGAGCCATGCTGGAGGTGAGCAAGTTTCAGAACGAGACCTTCGGGGGTGACGGCCGATTGGAGCGCTGATGCCGGTGTCCGGGGGGCTGGGGGGCGCTGCTTCGGGTATTAGGTGTGCTTACCTGACCTGAAGGGAGCTCTTGCGCCATCGACGGCTGAAGCGCTCGGTGGGTGGTAAGAGGTATGCGATTCCACGGTAATTAATAATGCTGGTTTGGGATGGATATATAATCAACGTCGTCCCTTCCTCCTCATCTCATTGTGAAAACGTCCCTTTGTCCCCGAGGTCGGAAAGAACTATCCGTCATCTAGCGCAGCGGAGACCATACCTACACACAGAGCCGCTGCCCCTCCTTTTTTATTTAGCTATCCTACCCCGCCAAAAACGCCATTCCGGAACATCTTTCCATCTACCGACTACAACCACCAACTCTCCCGAATTCTCTTTCGAAACCACCCACAATCAAAATGTCTGAGCACACTTACAAGTTCAACGTCAGCATGAGCTGCGGCGGCTGCTCCGGTGCCGTTGACCGTGTTCTGAAGAAGCTTGATGGTGAGTGCTTTTCGCGGAGAGAGCATGTTCCGTGCTGGACTGGGTGTTTGCTGCACATGTGTCCTGGCGCGAAAACGGCGGTGACACCAGAGGCAACCCTTGCGATGCTCGCAACACGATCTCCTGGACAACATTTGAAGCTCTATGTTCGCTAACGCGTGGATCCTCTCAACAGGCGTCAAGTCCTACGAGGTCTCCCTCGACAGCCAGACCGCCACCGTCGTCGCCGAGGAGAGCCTGCCCTACGAGAAGGTCCTGCAGACCATTGCCAAGACCGGCAAGAAGGTCAACTCTGGCAGCGCCGATGGTGTTGAGCAGAGCGTCGAGGTTGCTGCCGCATAAGCCTTCTCTCCCTCTTGAGAGAAGTGTGCGCGGGGCAGGAATATGGGGAAGAGTTTGATACCGAGAGGATGAACTACTGCTGCTGCTGGGAAAGCCTTTTTTGTGCGAGGAGTTACATTTCCGGGTTTTGGACACTACCTTGCCTCTAGGGCGATGTCCAGTGCTTTTCACGCATGCGAAATACAGAGGCATAGATGCCTTCGTTGAGGACAAGTTTTGTGGACGACGCTAGACCTACATTCGTGTTGTTGATGTGACTGGATTCGTGCATGGTCAATGGACTAGGACTCATGGAGTCGTGATCCTTGAACATATTCCCATAATTGTCGTACTGTAGACGTCGCATCGTCTTGGTGCCCACGCTGCCGACCAATGCATCCAAGAGTTTCTACTATTGAGTCCTAGAAGCCTTCATCGCCCTTCTACGCCGGATTTCCGCCTTTTCTGGACTTCTGCCACGTCTTCTTTAGGGTGTGACCTTGATAACTTGATCCTTGATGTGTGCTTGCAGTCGAACTTGGCATGCGCTGCTCGTCAGCCACCTCCACGTTTATAGAGGTTGATGCGCAACGAAAAGAGAGTCGCTCATGCATATAGCCTCTAATGTCGGTATGCATAAATACGGAAACAGAGAGACAACTACACAATAAGAGAAATAAACCCGTAGCCGGCCCCGAGATACGGACGATTGCTCCGGTGCTGGAAGACGTAATCCGACAGGGAATAGGCAGGGAATGAATCAAGATATGCTAGGACGCATCCCGAAACGAAGCCAAGCAAAGAGCACTCTCACCTCTCAAAGCTGAACCCTGTCTCCCCGCACAGTTGCACTGGTGAAGGGCTACTGCCCGAGTTGCTAGATCAAGCTCGCCGCCGTTCATGTTGCATTGTGTTTGGCCACTCGGATTCGCGCGTCGATCTTGATGCCTTGTCCAATAGCATGTTTTCCAGTCCACACATGCAGGAAGCACACGTGAAGCAGAGGACCCTGAGAAACCTCAGATGGACGCAAAGGTGAGCCAACTCGCGAATGACCAACTGCTCCTCCGGAGTCCGGTCCTCACAGGGTCCCCACACACGCCGCTTGGATCGGCGGCTTGAACGCCACCCGGGGGACCGGGGAGGTGTACCTACAAACGTCATTTCATGCCCTCTACCACAGGCAAACCCCGCCCCATTCCCATGTATCGGCGGCTGGGTGCATTTTTAGAATTTTCTCCTGCTGCTGGGAAGACGGACGACACCTTGAGCACATGGGATGCGTCGCAAAATCTGGATGGTGGGAGCAGGAGTCCAAGTGTTCCCGGATGACGACCAGGGCTGACTACCTACGTTAGACTCGGTGGCGGGGGTACTTTCCCCGTTTTTCTGTTTGCTTGTGTGTGTCCTTCCTGCACCTGTCAAGCGCACTTGCACTTGCCCTCTTATTAGTGTCTGCCTTAACCTCACTCATGCGCTTGATGAAATGAGACGAGACTTCTAGGTTGCCGCTTTCCAGATTTGAAAACCTGAAGCTGCCATTAAAGACACACACTCCTGACGTTTTGTCTGTTTGAGCTTGACTTCAACCTCGCATCAACACATAAGAAGAACCTACTTCTAGAAGCGAACCCCAAGACCTGTTCGTCGCATCTCACTCAAACCCAGGCCCTAACCTACAACGTATTCTCGCAAATAAAATAAAAACAAAACTCCCCTACACGACCACCGCCAACATGGGAACGCCTTTTGTTTCCCTTCTGGAGCCGACCAGACTGGACGCCTACATTCGCGGCCGCGCGCACGATGAGCAGCCCGCCGCCATACCGAAATTGTTCTGCGACGCCATGGAGGTGCGCGAGGAGGTCTTCGTGAAGGAGCAGGGCGTGCCCGCGGAGAACGAGTTCGACGCCGACGACAGCCGCGCGTGCCACTGGGTCTCGTACGCTTCGGTCAGTAAGGTCGTCGAGCAGGAGGTCCTCGACGCCGACGGCAACATCGTCAAGCCGCGCCGGAGTAGCACCCGCGCCACGCCCATCGGCACCATCCGCCTTGTGCCCTTCCCGCACGACCCGCACCCGAAGGATGGGGGCGTCTACTGGGACGGCAAGCTCGAGGAGATCAAGGTGGGGGCCGGCGGCGGCAGCGAGGCGGTGGAGACGGCCACGGAGGAGATGAAGAGCCCCGTCAAGGAGGACGGCGTAGTGGGCGCGGCGGAGCACGTCGGCGAGGAGAGGCGGTCGTCGGCGGCGCGGCCGTTTGCAGGGCCGGACCGCGCGACGGACCTGCACGACGGGATCGAGCCGTACGTGAAGCTCGGCAGGCTGGCCGTGATTGAAGGATTTAGGGGACACCGGATTTCGCTGCTGCTTGTGAACACAGTGCTGGCATGGTTGAAGGAGAAACCGAGCTATTTCGACCCGAGCATCAAAGAGATGGGCCTGGAACAGATCGGGGCGTCGACGGCGGAGGAGGTGCCCAAGTGGAAGGGACTGGTGTGCGTGCATGCGCAGAAGCAGGTTGTGGAAATGTGGGAGAAGATGGGCTTTACCGTTGACGAAGGTATGGGGACTTGGTGGGAGGAGGGCATCGAGCATAAGGGCATGTTTATGCGGCTGGACGTTCAACCCGAGACCACCCCTCTGGTATGAGGGGTTGAGCATTTTTGGGCCTTTTGATATGGTCTGTTGATGAGAGGCAGAGGGAGGCTTTCGAAGCATTCGGGGAGAGCTTATGACTTATGATTAACGATGGCCAGTCGTTTACTTATCTGGACGGACGGTCCACAATATCCTTATTATACTTGCTTCGTAGGACATAATAGAGGTCGGTCAATGCCGGACAGTTATCTCGTAATTGCATCCTAGTCCATCATCTCTCGTCATCACACATGGCTTCTTATGGGGAATCTCCAGGGCACAGCGAGATAGGCGGGATAGCTAAGGTATTTGATCATGTGCCCTCTGACGAGCTTGGCTTCGTATTGGAAAACCACCTAGAGCCGTAAGAGACAAGATGCCGTAGCAGCGTTCCCCATTCCCGAACGCGCAAATGCAAAAGGGCGCAACACACATACACTTTTCCTTTTACGAAGAGGTAGAAAAAAAAGGATGATGATTGCCCTGTAATGTAATACCACGCCTCCGTTTGATGTTTGTCCCCAAAAAAGCAAAGTTTTTTTACGACGTAAGAAGGTAGGGTCCCATTTCTTTCGACGGTACTCCTAACGTTCCCTTCACAGGCGTGAGTGTGTGATGAAGTTTTTGTTTTTCCTTCCAAAACCCCAGCACTCCTCCCGGTCCCCCAACCAGATCTCTTGTCCCAGTAGCAATTGAAACCCACAAACCCATGCTCGGGCAGTAAAGGTCCCTTTTTTCCCCTGACGACAAAACCACAGCAAAAGTGTGGCGAAACCCTTTATCGGTTGGACTTGGCGACACGCTCCAGCTCGTCCTTCTTCTTGATGGCGTACGAGTTGCTGCTGCCCTTGGCGGCGTTGATCAGCTCCTCAGCAAGGCACTCGGCGATGGACTTGACGTTGCGGAAGGAGGCCTCGCGGGCGCCGGTGGTGAGGAGGGAGATGGCCTGGTT